CTTAAAACAACAACCATTTAATCATATCTTACAATTTTTTTTTCTTTTTTATTGCATTTTAGGTTTTGGGGTACATGTGCAGAACATGCAAGACAGTTGCATAGGTACACACATGGCAGCGTGTTTTGCTGCCTTCCTCCCCTTCACCCACATTTGGCATTTCTCCCCAGGCTATCCCTCCCCAGCTCTGCCCCCCGCTGTCCCTCCCTATGCCCCCAATAGACCCCAGTGTTTAGTACTCCCTTCCCTGTGTCCATGTATTCTCATTTTTCATCACCCGCCTATGAGTGAGAATATGCGGTATTTCATTTTCTGTTCTTGCGTCAGTTTGCTGAGAATGATGTTCTCCAGATTCATCCATGTCCCTACAAACGACACGAACTCATCATTTTTGATCTTACAATTTTATGTGTCATTGATTTCACTAAATTTAGGGAGGATTCCACTAGATGATTCTTCTGCTTCATATGTCATTAGCGGAAGTTACTTGATGATAGACAATTGGTAGATGAGCCGATGGCCTGGTGGAGATGGCTAGAAGGCTGAGCTTAGTTGAGACTGTTAATTGAGACACCTACAAGTGGTAGTTCAACTACATTAGGGTAGTTGAACTCACTTCGCAGCTCAGGGCTCCCCAAGGGAGTGTTGCAGAGTCCTGGAGGAAGTGCAGGTTTCCTTTGACATAGCCTCAGAAGTCCCAGAATGCAACTTCTGCCATTGTATTGGTCAAGCAAGCCACCCGGTCAGCCCAGTTTCAAGAACTAAGGAATTAGAATCTGCCTCTCAATGGAAGGGAAAGCAAAGAATTTGTGGCCTATTTTAATCTACCATACCTAATTAGGGAGACTAGTCAGTGAGGAATGTCCTTGAAGAAAGATATTGGCAAATGTCAACAGACCAGAGGCCAAATGCAGGGTTGTTTTGATTTAGAAAGGGAGAAGACACTGAGGTTCTTGTAATCTGCTTTCAGATGGCCCAGAAGGGCTTCTCTGAGGTGACAAGTGGCTATCCAATAAGTGTGTGCTTGTCCCATATCACAGCTTGTGTGATGCTTTAAGTTGTGTTGGTTAGGTCAAACAAACACATACTGTGAATCTAAAGGTAAGTATTCAAAAATAAGAAAAAAATCAGGTAAAAACAATGGCCTTTACACTTCTCACTGGTCCCTCCCCTCTCAGCTTTTTATCAGAGGCCTGACCTTCCCAGTTCAAAGCCCAGGAAGTTGCTCAAGATCCTTGCCCTCACCCATATAACCTTGTTCCTTAGTCCAATATCCATTCTCATTATCTGCCTTGTATTTTTGTGACTTCTACATATGTCTGTCTCTAGAAGATGATGAAGCGTTGAGAAGAAGGCATGTTGTATACATTTTACCCAGGTGCTAGCACTATTCTTTGACAGGGGATCAGCAGATATTGTCGAATCAAAGTGGAGGAGGAGGACAATGAACGTGTAAGAAAACTGACCAGAAATGAACAGTTTTAACAGGTGGTAGGACCCTTCCTAAAAGGGAAGACTGAGGGGGTGGCACTCCTTTGTCCCAGAGACAAATCAGTTTGGAAACTACACTCATCAGTTGGCCACTGCAGCTCAATGTTACTATTCAACAACAGTTAGGTGGTGTAGACTGTATATGCAGAAGAAAGTGAATGGTCCTTTAAGAACTTTTAAATAAGGAAAGTAAGACAGTTCTGTGTGAATTAAGTGAATTCATTCCGGTGGGAAATGGCACAAGTTCCCAGCTCTGGTATAGTTATTTGATTGGCAAAACTCCTGATTTATTCTGACAATAGTAATCTGAAAAAAGATTGCTGCAACTCAAGAGAGTGGCTAACTTAGGAAAGCATGACTCAAAGAAGCAAATATTGGCCATATGACTCGCACTTCCTACAGGCATGAAGAGCTGAATTTGAACATTGTGAACATCTTGCCAGTTGAAAGGTTTTCTGTGTTGCAAGGCAGAGATAGCTTATCTGGCTCCCCAAAACACAGCTGACAATGTCTGGCCAGGTGCGGTGGCTCACGCCTAGAATCCTAGGACTTTGGGAGGCTGAGGTGGGTGGATCACCTGAGGTCAAGATTTCAAGACCAGCCTGGCCATCATGGTGAAACCCCATCTTTTTTTTTAAAGAAAAAAAAAAAAAGAAAATGTCCTTCAGGGATCATTCAGTGGTCATATGATTAGAACAGAATATTGGGGAATTGGGCCAAATTTTTAATTTATACATGCAATGCAAGTGTGACAAGTGCATTATTTATTAAACAGCCATGTGGTTGGTAGGTAGTAACTGTCTCTCCTGTTTAGGTAATCACCCTCGATGAATAGTTTTAAAAATGTGTACCTCAGATCAGAGATAAGAGTCACGATTACCTGAGAAATGACTGGAAATGCAAATTCTCAGGTTCCTTCCCAGACTTAATAAATCAGAAATTTTCAAGGGGGATGAGCAACAATCTTAGTTTTAATCAGAGCTTTTTTTTTTTTGAGACAGGGTCTTGCTTTGTCATCCAGGTTGGAGTGCAGTGGCACAAACACAGCTCACTGCCACGTCGACTTCCTGGGCTCAAGCAATCCTCTCACCTCAGCTCCATAAGTAGCAAGGACTACAGGTGTGCACCAGCATGCCTAGCTATTTTTTTTTTTAATTTCGTAGAGACAGGGTTTCACCATGTTGCCCAGGCTGGTCTCAAATTCTTGAGCTGAAGTGATCTGCCTGCTTGGCCTCCCAAAGTATTGAGATTATAGGCATGAGCCACTGCACCCTGCCTAATCAGGGGTTCTTAAATTTAAGCATGTACCAAACCCAGCTGGAGAGTTTGTTAAAACACAAATCACTGGGCCCTGACTCCAGTGTTTGGAAACATAGATGTTCAGGTTCCAACCCACTTGTCAGGATCAGTGTTTCTCCAACTTTAATGTGAGTGGGAATAATCTGGAAATATTGTTAAAAGATTCTTATTCAGTAGGTCTGGGGTAGAGCCTGAGAGTCTATATTTCTAACAAGGTGATGTTGATGTCATGGGCCACAATCCCATACTTTGATTAGTGAGAACCTTGAGCAGAGGTTTCTAAACTTTTCTGAACATTAGTATTGCCTGATGTTTCCATCCATTTGTGCTGCTATAACAAAATACCTGCGACTGGGTAATTTTATAGATAATAGAAATTTTTTTTTTTTTTTGAGATGGAGTTTTGTTCTTGTTACCCAGGCTGGAGTGCAATGGCGTGATCTCAGCTCACCACAACCTCCGCCTCCTGGGTTCAAGCAATTCTCCTGCCTCAGCCTCCCGAGTAGCTGGGACTACAGGCGCACGCCACCATGCCCAGCTAATTTTTGTATTTTTAGTAGAGACGGGTTTCACCATGTTGACCAGGATGGTCTTGATCTCTTGACCTCGTGATCCACCCACCTCGGCCTCCCAAAGTGCTGGGATTACAGGCGTGAGCCACCGCACCGGCCTAGAAATTTATTTCTCATAATTCTGGAGGCTGGGAAGTCTAAGGTCAAGACACTAGCATTTGGTGTCTGGGGAGAACCTGCCTTCTTGCAGCATCTTCTCATGGCAGAAGGTGGAAGGGCAAACATAGGAGTGATTGCTGGTTTCTTCTAGCCCTTTTATAAGCCTGCAAATTCCATTCATAAGGGCTCTCCTCTCATGACTTAATCACTCCTAAACACCCTGACTCTTAATACTATTACATTGCAGATCAAGTTTCAACATGAATTTTGGGGGACACATTCAGACCATACAACCTAGAAAACTTCAAAAACTACAGATGCCTGGGTCCTACTCTGGGTGACCGCAGTTTAATTGGTCTGGGGTGTGGCCTGGACTTTGGAATTTTTAAAAGATCTCCAAGTAGTTCCAATGTACAGGCCTTGATGGCCCTGAATCTTTTTGCTGCTTCAGGTAACCAGAAAGTAAATGTAGATCCTCAAAGCCAATCAGGAAGCCATCACCAATTACCTTCCCTCCTGTATCACCAGTCTTCTCAGATCTGATATTTATGGGAATATGATGGAAGTGCTTGCATATGCTATCCTTTCACTGGTGGGGCAGGTGTTCCCATAGAGAGTCACAGACTACCGGGCCTTGTGGTTGGGATAATTATCTAAGGCATATTCTATATGGAAGAGGCCTTACAAACTTGGCCTTCAGAAGAAAGGTCCTATGTGGACTCCTCCAATCCCTCCTCTCACCTCCTTCTCCTCAATATGCTCCCACTGTAGTCACTTCACATAACCTTTTCTTTCAGGTTTCCTAGCTCTTGTGTTCCCTCACCAAACTCCTCTCTTTCTTCTATAAATAGACCACTAATGATGGTTTTTAAGGTGGGTGGTACTGCCCTCTAGGGGGTGTTTTTTGGCTTTCACAATAATTGGGATGATTTTACACATTTAAATGGTTAGGGCCCAGGATAGCTCAACATTCAGGAACTGTTTAGGACACTACCACACAAGAGTGATATTTCTGTGTCTTTAACTTTGAATAACTTGCTGAAAACTTATTGGAATTAGGATATAACTTTTTTGTTTGAGTTGGAGTTTTGCTCTTGTCTCCCAGGCTGGAGTGCAGTGGTATGATCTTGGCTCACTGCAATCTCCACTTCCTGATGCTATCACACTGCAGATCGAGTTTCAACATGAATTTCCGGGATACACTCAGTGAGTTCAAGTGATTCTCCTGCCTCAGGCTCCTGAGTAACTGGGATTACAGGAGCCCGCCACCACGCTCGGCTTATTTTTGTATTTTTAGAGGAGACAAGGTTTCACCATGTTGGCCAGGCTGGTCTCAAACTCCTGATCTCAGGTAATCAACTCACCTCGGCCCCGAAAAGTGTTGGGATTACAGGTGTGAGACACTGCACCATAATTTAATTTTAAATATAAACACAAGGCATTTTATGCATAGTTTTAATATACACTGAATTTTCCAGGAATGCAACTGCCATGAAAATCATGAAATGATCATATCTTGTTTTGTTTGAAAATCTGCCAAAAGTTTTTTATTATTTTGGAAAATCATACCACATCAGTAATTCTGTTCATGGTATTTGAATCACCATTATGTCTGTATCATTCTGCATTTGTAGCTGTTATATTCAAGGTGATTTTATAGAGAGATGCAAATATCTGAGTATCACATTGTGTCTTCTTGAATGTTATACACAAGCATTTACATATCTAAACACATAGTATTTAATTATAAGTCATAGTCCTTCTACTATTCCTCTTATCTCCCATCCAAGTACTAACCAGGCCTGACCCCACTTAGCTTCCGAGATCAGACACATTGAGGGTGGTATGGCTGTAGACTCCTTTACATTTCTTTAAAAGATTTTATTAATCTTTTAGGCCAGGCACGGTGGCTCATGCCTGTAATCCCAGCACTTTGAGAGGCCAAGGTAGGAGGATTGTTTGAGCCCTGGAGGCTGAGACCAGCCTTGGCAACATAGCAAGACACTGTCTCTATTTTTTGTTTTTTAATATTTGTTTAAAATTGTGTGTGGAGGTAAGTTACATTCTTTATGAATTATGCTTCAGGAAAATAAAAGGAGCATCAAAATATTTGTCATAAAAAGAAAATGTTTTAGTTCAGATTGCTGTAACAAATTACTGGGTGGCTTAAACAACAAACATTATTTCTCACAGTTCTAGAGAATGGAAGTCCAAGATCAGGTTGCCAGCATGGTCTGCTTCTGAAGATGAGGGGCTTCCTTGGGATTGCAGATGGCTGTTTTCTTGTATCCTCACATGGTGGATAAAGAGTCACCAATCCCATTTATTTGTATTCTAAACTCCATGACCTAATGACCTCCCAGAGATCCCATCCTAAATATCATCACGTTGGGATCAGGGTTTCAATATATAAATTTTGGGGAGACACAAACATAAAGACCATTACAGGGAGTGTTGGGACTGATGAGGTGGGTGGTAATGGAGGCTTCTAAGGAAGGAAAGTGGAAGTACTGGCTCAGTTGCTAGAGGATAGAATGCCCTCAGTTCTGAGCCGAAGCTCAGCTGCTACCCGAGAGGCAAGGGTACCTGCTAAGGAAAGCAATGATATTTTCCAGAAGACAGCTAATCTTCATTTCTTTTTTTTTTTTTAAATTTAGACAGAGTCTCGCTCTGTCGCCAGGCGCCAGGCTGGAGTGCAGTGGCGTGATCTCGGCTCACTGCAACGTCCGCCTCCCGGGTTCAAGCAATTCTCCTGCCTCAGCCTCCGGAGTAGCTGGGACTAGGTGTGCGCCACCGCGCCCAGCTAATTTTTGTATTTTTTAGTAGAGATGGGCGTTTCACCATGTTGGCCAGGATGGTCTCGATCTCTTGACCTCGTGATCCTCCCGCCGGAGCCTTCCAAAGTGCCGGGATTACAGGCATGAGCCACCGCCCCCGGCCCCCCTCTTTTTTTTTTTTTTGATACGGAGTCTTGCTCTGTCGCTCAGGCTGGAGTGCAATTCCGCGTTTTCGGCTCATTGCAACGTCCAGTTGTGATTCTCCTGCCTCAGCCGCTCGGAGTTGCTGGGATTACAGGCGCACGCCACCACGCCTGCTAATTTTTGTATTTTTAGTAGAGACAGGGTTTCACCATGTTAGCCAGGATGGTCTCGGTATACTGACCTTGTGATGTGTCCACCTCGCCCTCCCAAAGTGCCGGGATTACAGGCGTGAACCACCACGCCCAGCCAGCTAATCTGCTTTATACGCAGAAAGCGTATTTCTCCTGCTACTATGTTCTGTCCTCTCTTTATGAAGCTAGCATGATTAACCTAAGGGTCACGTGTCCCTTTTCTGAGTCTGGTTCCATCTTCCTGGAAAGAGTTCAGCATTAGTCATTCAGAATAGTTCCAGACAGATTCTGTGTGATCTGTGGATCTCTCTTCTGATCAGCAGGAGGGGAGGGACTTGCTCTCAGTTCAGCGAACTTTGACTGATGTCTACATTTGGCTACGGGCGGTTGCTTTGGACATTCCGTTTCCTTTTAATTCTGTATTCTCAAAGGAACTTTAGGATGAATCGAGTCTGACCGTCTTTGATACTAGAAAAGAGAAGTGTACAGATCGGCAGCGAACATGCTGAAATCTTTTCCAAGAAAAGGTGTTTTGAAGAGGTAATAGGAGAAAGGAGAAGAAAATTAGCCAAAGAGGAGACGAATTTGGGAGAGGGGGAAGTCTTAGGGACAGGAGAAAATAGGATCAGGAAGGGAAATAACAACAAACTAAACTCGGGCCCCAGAAAAGGCTGCGGGGGGTCCTGGGCATTCGTGTTTACGGCCTGGCAGGTAGTCTCGCGGCCCTGGGCTCAAAGCCCGCCCAGCTGCTTCTGCGCCCCGCCCCGGCCCGTGCGTCTCCGCCCGCGCTGTCTCTTCCCAGATCCGCATCCGGCTCCTCCCCTGGTTGCCACCCTTCCCTCCCGCAGGACCTGGAACGGAGTTTCTGCTTCCTGCTGCGGGAATCGGACGCCCCTGGTCACGCACCACTGTCTCCCGCCCCAGTCTAAGGGAGGATTCGAGCGCAGGTAGAACTTCCCCTGGCCCTGGGTCTAGGGCGCTGGGCTCGGAGGCTGAGAGCGGGTGGGAAGGGCCTGGCTGGGACGGTTAGGAACCACCCGAGATTCACCTGGGAGTGCATCCACGCGGCTCTTCCCGGTCGCTCCGGGAAGGGGAAAGGAGTGCACACTGCGTGAAAGGGGATGTGAGTGAGGAGGAGAAGGCTGAGGGAGAGGGAGGGGCAGGAATAGAGACCACGTGAGAATCAGCCCCTCTTATTTCCCTGTCCCGTGTGCCTATTGGAAGGGGACAGTGGCTGTCACCAACAAACGCTAATATGAGAACTGTTTGTAATAATAGAAACCTAGGCTGTGCTTAAATGTGCTGGACTACCATACAACCACTTGAAAGAGTGAGGTGGAGGCCGGGCGTGGTGGCTCACGCCTGTAATCCCAGCATTGTGGGGGGCCGAGGCGTGCGGGTTACCTGAGCTCAGGAGTTTGAGACCACTCTGGCCAACATGGTGAACCCATCTCTACTAAAAATACAAAAGAATTAGCCGGGCGTGGTGGTGGGCCCCTGTAATCCCAGCTACTTGGGAGGCTAAGGCAGGAGAATCCCTTGATCTCGAGAGGCGGAGATTGCAGTGAGCTGAGATTTGCTACTGCAGTGCAACCTGGGTAACAGAGCCAGACTCCATCTCATAAAAAAAAAAAAAGGGTTTAATGTGTTACCACGGCAAGGTCTCTGAGATATACTAAGTGCAGAATAGTGTCTAACCTATGATCCTGTTTGTGTAAAGCAAAAGCAAAAGCAGTGGTGATGGTGAAGGCACATGTTTGTATATGCATAGAAAGGGTGAAACTGTTAGTATAAAACTGTTAGCAATGTTTACTTCTGGAGAAGGGAACTAGAGATGGAAGTGGGGAGGGAACTTTATCTCTTCATTTCTGGTTCAGTTGAATCTCCTTTTAAAAATTCCAGGATGCAAAAAAATAAACTGTTCTTATTTTTCTGTTTATTTTTGGTTTGAGATCTCTTTAAAAGAATCTGAGTCAATTCTGAGATTCCCCACTCCTTTCCTTGGGGGCTTATATAGGGCAAAGACATGAGCAAAGTGTACAGGACACAGAAGCCATCATTTTTGATGTGTTTGTCACACTGACGTCCAGTGGGGTATTGTTATCCTTTTTAGTCCTGGATTGTTAGTCATTCAGGTCATCTTGTAAGTGTTCTATTTCCCTGTCCCTAAGCTTATTCACACTAGGTTTAAGTGGGTGACTTAGCAATATATTCTTAAAATATTTACATATGAATGAGAAATTAGCCTTTGTCCAAATAAATAAGAATATACTTTCTTTCTTCTTCTTTTTTTTTTTAAATAGAGGTCTCACTAAGTTGCCCAGGCTGGTCTTGAACTCCTGCACTCAAGTGATACTCCTGCCTCAGCCTCCCAAAGTGCTAGGATTACAGGTGTGAGCCACCACACTCAGCAGAAAATAGGTTCCTGGTGGTATAATTCAAGCATTCTGTTAGGCAGAGGTTTCTAATTTGCAGTTTGTGGAGATTCTGGGAGATCCATAAATGGGCTTCATAGACACTTTGAAAAATTGAGCACCAGGCTGGGCGCGGTGGCTCACGCCTATAATCCCAGCACTTTGGGAGACCAAGGCGGGTGGGTCACGAGGTCAAGAAATCGAGACCATCCTGGTCAACACGGTGAAACCCCATCTCTACTAAAAATACAAAAATTAGCTGGGCATGGTGGCACACGCCTGTAGTCCCAGCTACTCGGGAGGCTGAGGCAGGAGAATTGCTTGAACCCAGGAGGCGGAGGTTGCAGTGAGCCGAGATTGTGCCATTGCACTCCAGTCTGGGTAACAACAGCGAAACTCCGTCTCAAAAAAAAAGAAAAAGAAAATTGAGCACCAAACAGTATATACACTTTTTTTCTTTTCTGTGAAAAAGCTCCATAGCTTTTACTAGATTCTCAAAGGCCTCTGAATCCCACCAACCAGCAATTGTGGGAACAATGGTTAACAAGGCTAAAAGGGTCTCTGTCTTCAGGAACTTAATGGTCAATTGGGAAGAAAGACAAACGTGATATGCTCTATGATAGGGGAAGTATGGGTATTGTGAAAACAAGGAGAAGGCCACCTAAACCAGACTGGGGCTTGGTGTCAGCACAGGCTTCTTGGAGGAATTGATGATGAAACTGAAGCCTATAGAGTGAGAGGAAAGTAGCATTTGGTCTGGTAAAGGAGAGGTGGTGTTGGTGGAAGAAAGAAAGACTGTTCCAGGAATCTGCCTGTGCAAAGGCCCAGAGTCAAGAGATACCTTGGCAGTTAATAAGCTAAGTAGAATTTGTAAGATTGAAGCCTAGAGTGCTGAGAGTTAGATTGGGGTGTTAGTAAGAGATGATGCTGGGAGGTAACCAGAAGCCGGGTTTTGTATGTGATGCTGAGGATGCAGAGAGGAGCAAGACAAAGGAGTCCTTACCTTCAGGAGTTTTATTTCAGTAAGTAGAAACAATTAGCAAGTGGGCTAATAAAGAAACATGCTTTGAAAAAAAAGAGTCTCACTATGTTGCTCAGGCTGGTTTAAAACTCCTGGGCTCAAGTGATCCTCCTGCCTTAGCCTCTGCAAGTCTCTGGGATTACAGGCTACCATGTGTGGCTCTAGCAGGGAGATCCTTTAGACAAATCTAAATTCAGCAAAGATGGTGGTAGGAGGAATAGAGAGAACTGGATAGATTTAAGAGACACTGAGGAAGTAGAATCAATAGGATTTGGTATTTACTGGATAATAGTAACAAATAACAATAGCTTCTATACTGAACACTTAGTGCCAAGCCGTCCTCAAAGTGCTTAATGTTTTTTCTCATTTATTTCTATAACAACTCTGTGAGGTAAACATTTTTCTTAACTTTATAAATGAGAAAATCCTAGAAACATGGAGAATTTAAATATCTTTCCCAACCAAGATCCCAAGGTGAAGGAGGATTCAAACTCAAGTCTGTCTAACTTCAAACTTCAGTAGGCAGAGGGGGCAAAGGAAGGGGTATGGATTTGGGGCATAGATGGGAGAAGGAAAAGGATGATACATTTAGGATCTGTGGAATTTGGAGTACCTTTGAGTCATCCAGTGGGGATGTCCAATAGGCAAATGGGTAAGTGAAATATAAAGCTTAGAAGGGAGATCTAGGTCCAGGAATAGATCTGTGAGTCGCCAGCATAGAAATCTTATTTGGAGTCACATAGTGGGTGAGACCACCCCAGGAAAGTATGCGAAAGGATTAGAATAAAGTGCAAGGAGCATCGATGTTAAGGAATGACAAAGAATCCCTAGGAAGATATAGCCAGAATAGTTTTAAGAAGAAAATCAGGGCAGTAACATCATAGGAAACAAAGGAAGATATTTATTTATTTTTGAGATGGAGTTTCACTCTTGTTGCACAGGCTGGAGTGCAATGGTGCGATCTTGGCTCACGGCAACCTCCGCCTCCTGGGTTCAAGTGATTCTCCTGTCTCAGCCTTCTGAGTAGCTGGGATTACAGGCATGGACCACAGTGCCCGGCTAAGTTTGTATTTTTAGTAGAGACAGGGTTTCTCCATGTTGGTCAGGCTGGTCTCAAACTCCTGACCTCAGGTGATTTGCCTGCCTTGGCCTCCCAGAGTGCTGGGATTGCAGGCGTGAGCCACTGTGTCTGGCCTGGAAGAGAGAGTTTTAATGAGAGAGTAATCAACAATGTTATATTCTACTTGAGGGATGGAATAGTTAAGGCCCAAGATGTATTTATTTACAGGAGAAACAAGAAGTTCCTTGGTTATCTAAGAGGACTTGTGAACTGGTGGGGCAGAATCCCATTTAGTTGGTGGAAGAGTGAATAAGAGGCAAGGAAGCTGAGATGGTGAATATTGACAACTTGATTAAAGTATCTTTTTCTCTGGAGCTAAGAGTACAGATTATATTGTGAGATCCCCTCCACTAAGTAAGGATCAAACTGATAGTCCTGGGGAGGGGGTCTCCTTTACTTTCTTACGTGAAGGCATGTCCCTTCCTTTCCAGCCATTCCTTTTTTTTTTCTTTTTAAAAAAATATTATTTATTTTATGATTATTAGTATTTTTTTTTTTTTTAGATAGAGTCTTGCCTTGTTGCCAGGCTGGAATGCAGTGGCATGATCTTGGCTCACCGCAACCTCCACCTCCTGGGTTCAAGCAATTCTGCTTCAGCCTCCTAAGTAGCTGGGTTTACAAGCATGTGCCACCACACCCAGCCAATTTTTGTATTTTTAGTAGAGATAGGGTTTCACCATGTTGGCCAGTATGGTCTCGATCTTTTGACCTCATGATCCCCCGACTTTAGCCTTTCAAAGTGCTAGGAGTACAGGTGTGAGCGACTGTGTCCTGCCCAACATTTTTTACTTTTTAAAACTTTGTAGAGATGGGGTTTCACCATGTTGCCCAGGCTGGTCTTAAACTCCCGGGCTCAAGCAACCCTTGTGCCTCGGCCTTCCAAAGTGTTGGAATTATAGGCGTGAGCCACTGCATCTAGCCTTTTCTTAATTTCTCTGCTCTTAAGCCTTTGCCTTACCTTTTTCCTACCCCTCTCCCTTAGGATATTCTCTGGATGAACCCCAGTCCTGAGAAAAACAACATTGGTTGTTTTCTACTCGCAAATCACTGGCATTCACAGGAGGGCTATGAGGAAGATATGCTCTCATGCAGATACACCCTCAGTGCAGCCAGATGCTCATCACCTGTCTTTCTCTCCTTCTAGGCATATGCTAGCTGAGTTTCAGCCATGGAAAAACTCCACGGGCATGTGTCTGCCGATCCAGACATCCTCTCCTTGGAGAACCGTTGCCTGGCCATGCTCCCTGACTTGCATCCCATGGAAAAACTACATGAGCATATATCTCCCCACTCAGATATCCTCTCCTTGAAGAACCAGTGCCTAGCCATGCTTCCTGACCTGAAGACCATGGAAAAACCACATGGACATGTGTCTGCCCACCCAGACATCCTCTCCTTGGAGAACCGGTGCCTGGCCACGCTTCCTAACCTGAAGACCTTGGAGAAACCACATGGACATGTTTCTGCCCATCCAGACATCCTCTCCTTGGAGAACCGGTGCCTAGCCACCCTCCCTAGTCTAAAGAGCACTGTGTCTGCCAACCCTTTGCTCCAGAATCTACAGATATCCTACATGATGCAAGCTGATCTGTACCGGGTGAACAGCAGCAATTGCCTGCTCTCTGAGCCTCCAAGTTGTAGGGCTCAGCATTTCTCTAAGGGACCAGGCCTTTCAGCCTGCCCCATGGCCCCCGTCTCTGCCACAGAGACAGTCCAGGAAGCAACTTTGGTAATAGCTCCAGGCACTTGTCTTGACTCCAGCTGTGTCTGTTGAATTTTCTTGTCTCTAGCTTTCAAGTGTCTCGGTTTCCCTCCGTGCTGCTCTGTGTCTGGCTATGTTCTCTCCTCAGAGCCTCTCCTAAGGTGCCCTTTGCTGCAGGACCATCTTCACCAGCGTCGTTACTTTTATTGCATATCTACTGCTTTGGAGATTTTGTGCAATAGATCAAAAACAATTCCTGTTCTAGCTAGGCATGGTGGCTCACACCTATAATCCCAGCACTTTGGGAGCCCAAGGCAGAAGATTGCTTGAGTCCAAGAGTTCGAGACCAGCCTGGACAACATGGTGAAACCCCATCTCAAAAATACAAAACTTAGCCGGGTATGGTGGTGTGTACCTGTAATCCCAGCTACGTGGGAGGCTGAGGCAGGAGAATTGCTTAAACCTGGGAGGCAGGATCACACTACTGCACTCCAGCCTGGGTGACAGAGCAAGACTGTGTCTCAAAATAATGAAAGCCCAAAAGACCACAATGAAAAACAGTCCCTGTCCTTAGGGAGCCTCTGCTCATGACAGCCAGCATAATGTTGCTATAGCAGAGTCAATTAGTCAGTTAGAAATTTTGTATTTTTGAGATGGGGTTTCACCATGTTGCTCAGGCATGAGATACATCTGCTAATTAATTTTCCAACAGCCCTATCGGGGTCTGTACCAGAGACCACTTAATTGTGTGTGCATGTGCAAACACATGTCCACTTTTACACGTCTACATACCTACATTTAGTATACAGTTCAGAATCACTAGATAGAGACACATTGCTTCTCTATACACTTGTGTTTCCGGTTGAGTGACAAGACCAGTCTGAGTCCACTTCTGTCTCTGCTGATTATAAAATATGCAACCTTGGGCAACCTCTTAATCCTTTAGAACTTTAATTTCCTTACCTTTATTTTTATTTATTTATTTATTTATTTTTGAGGTGGAGTTTCGCTCTTGTTACCCAGGCTGGAGTGCAATGGCGCAATCTCGGCTCACCGCAACCTCCGCCTTCTGGGTTCAGGCAATTCTCCTGCCTCAGCCTCCTGAGTAGCTGGGACTACACGCACGCACCACCATGCCCAGCTAATTTTTTGTATTTTAGTAGAGACGAGGTTTCACCATGTTGACCAGGATGGTCTTGATCTCTTGACCTCATGATCCACCCGCCTCGGCCTCCCAAAGTGCTGGGATTATAGGTGTGAGCCACCGCGCCCGGCCTTAATTTCCTTACCTTTAAAATGAATTTAATGAAAACATACTTCATAGGATTGTTATCAGGATTACAACTACTGCCATCTTACATTAATTTAGGGCTTTGCAATTTGCAAAGGGTCATACCTACATATATCACTACATTTAATTGCCCAGTGTCCCTATCAGATAGGTGGTAGTGAATGAGAGAAAGCTGAGGTTCAGCGAGGTTAAGCAGCCCAAGGCTGCTGGGGAATTCATATGGGGCTTTGCCCTTTTTCTTCTTCCTTTTTTTTTCTTTTTTGCCCTTTTCCTTCTGACCTTCAAAACATCTTACTAATATCCTAAGAGGTGTGTGAAGAGCCCCATGCTCCCAGGATATGACATCAGTGAAGAGACGAAAGAAGGGGCAGATCATGAAGCATGTGGGTGAAGGCTCCAAAGGCTGAGTACAGCAAGGTGGTGTGTGAGAGCACTAAGTCAGACAGGACACATCAGTGCTGGTGTGTGAAGGGAGAGGAGATTACAGGTGCTATGAATGGAGATATAGACTCATCCTATGTCCTGGTGCTGCCTTCAGATCCATCTAGGTTTGAGGGGCTGTGGATACATGCTGTGATTCATAACTCCCACTACTGTTCCCAGGGTCATTGGTTTTATTCAGAAGAGAAAAAGCCAGAGGAGAAGAAAGTGGCAGAGACCCAAATACCATCTTATAGTCTGAGCTTGGGAGAAGAGGAGGTAGAGGATCTGGCTGTGAAGCTTACCTCAGGAGACTGTGAATCTCATCTGGAGCCTACTGACCAGGTCCTTCAGGAAAAGAAGGTGAAAGCTCAAGAGTTGGGGAAAAGTTAATGGTGTGAAGGGGAGGCTGGGGTTCGAGTACTTGAACCAGGTCCCCTCCCCAGTTGGAAGGGGAAGGTAGGGATAAAACCCAGTTCTTATTTCTCACTTAGTAATCCCCCCACCTTTTTTTTTTTCTTTTTGAGAAGGAGTCTCGCTCTGTCGCCCAGGCTGGAATGCAATGGCATGATCTTGGCTCACTGCAACCTCCCTGCCTCTTGGATTCAAGCGATTCTCCTGCCTTAGCCTCCCGAGTAGCTGGAATTACAGGCATGCACCACCATGCCCGGCTAATTTTTGTATTTTCAGTAGAGATGGGGTTTCACCATGTTGGCCGGACTGCTCTCAAATTCCTGACCTTAGGTGATCCACCTGCCTCGGTCTCCAGGAGTGCTGGGATTACAGGCATGAGCCACCATGCCTGTGGCCCTAATCCCCTTCTCTAAGTTTTAAGTTGGACTCTACATCTCAGTCCTTCATTTTGTAAGTCTGCATGGATGCTTAAGTTGGTCCTTATTACCTCTCTTCTCCTTTTTTCCCTCTCTTTCTCAATTCCCAGATGGCTCTAATGAGCTTGCTCTGCTCTACTCTGGTCTCAGAAGTAAACATGAAAAATGCGTCTGACCCCATCTTGGCTGAAATTTTTGAAGTCTGTAGTGAAGTTGCCCCCCTGGAGCCTGAGTTTATCCTCAAGGTATTATGGTGTGAAGGAGAGGATGGGGTCATGAAGCTGGTAGATAGGGAGTGTGGTTATGGTGTGTGGGGAGTGGCGACTAGCCTCCTGTTGGGGGTGGGAGGAGCTTCTCTTAGAATTTCTGGGTGAGTCTGAGACCTAGTCCCTCTGGTTCAGTGAAGAGTGGGGAAAGGAGTGTACTAGGCTTGGTTTGTTTAGTAAGTACCCATTCTTCCAAGGAGGTGATAGTATTGTTAGGGAAGCAAAATACTTTTCTAAATATCATACAAGTATAGCCAGAAGAGCAGATAGTGAACATTTCTGAAGCAGAGAAGGGGGTGGGGTGGGAAATGTTTTCTGTGATGCCTTGGAAAATGGCAGGTTTAATCAATGATTTGAACCCTGGATAAATTTTTGATAGATACTGATGCAGATGGTCTTCCAAAGAAGGAAAAGGCCTGGTTGGCTTGCAGGGTAGTCAGTAGACTCAGAAGAAAACATGCTAGAAAGGTGGGTAAGGGATAGAGTATGAAGACTTAGAATGCCAAGTCAGGAGGCCTGGGCTTTGTATTTTGTGGTCAATGTGACCACATAAATATAAAACTCAGGAAAGGTTTCATATAGGCACACTCAATCAGCAAGTAAGTTCAGAGCAGAAAGCTATGGCAGGAGTGGCCGAGATTCTAGTCCTCTCACCCTGTGCCCTAGGCATCTTTGTACGCCAGGCAGCAGCTGAATGTCCGGAACGTGGCCAATAAAGTCTTGGCCATTGCTGCCTTCTTGCCGGCATGCCGGCCCCACCTGCGACGATATTTCTGTGCCATTGTCCAGCTGCCTTCTGACTGGATCCAGGTGGCTGAGCTTTACCAGGTATGGTGCTCGTTTTCCTGAGCTTGGGTCTTCACTTGGTTCCTTCTCTTTATGCTCACTGCATCCCTGGAGAAAATTCTCAGGCAGTTTGGCCTCTTCTCAGCTTTCCTCAACATTGGGGCCTAGGCAGGACAGCTTCTCCCTCTACCAGGCAGGATTGCCCAACGTGGAGAACATGATTGAGAAGGGCTGGACCAAAGCTTGAGAAAAAATTGGTCTTATTCTGGACCTCATGTTACTTTTTTTTTTGGAGACGGAGTTTCGTCACCCAAGCTGGAGTGCAATGGCATGATCTCACCTCACTGCAACCTCCGCCTCCCAGGTTCAAGCAATTCTCCTGCCTCAGCCTCGCAAGTAGCTGGGATTACAGTTGTGCATCACCATGCCTGGCTAATTTTTGTATTGTTAGTAGAAACGGGGTTTCACCATGATGGCCAGGCTGGTCTCGAACTCCTGACCTCAGGTGATCCACTCATCTCGGCCTCCCAAAGTGCTGGGATTGCAGGTGTAAAGGTGAGCCACCCTGCCCTGCCTCGACCTCATGTTTCTAATGAATAAATGAAAATCAGTACTACAGAAATTGTGATTTTTGGAGCTGGGGCTGGGAATCTGCTCACGATTCTGTGCTTTCATACATCTCCGTGAAGTGGTCTTGTTTTGTTTTGGAGGGTTGGTTTGGGTCTCACTTCTGATGATCTTCTTTCTCTTTTGACAGAGCCTGGCTGGGGGAGATGAGAATAAGCTGGTGCCCCTGCCTGCCTGTCTCCGTACTGCCATGATGGACAAATTTGCCCAATTTGATGAGTACCAGCTGGCTAAGTACAACCCTTGGAACCACCGGGCCAAGAGACACCCCCGCCGGCCAGCCCGCTCTCCAGTCAGTCACTGTCTCAGCCCTTGACCCACACTCCCCATCAGGGAGCATGCTATTGCTGGGGAGTCCTATACCAGGAGCAAAGGGAGTCAGAGAAATCCAGGGGAGCTGGGTAGAGCTTGGGAGCGAATGGAGCAGGGCAGGCCCTTTCCCAGCTGGCTTCCTTTGGGTAGAGATACACCTTCAGGCTATTGCTGGACCTCTTCAGGGACAGCCTCCATTTCCCTTTTTGAAACTGCTTCTCCTGTCCCTACAGAGGATGGAACCTCCATTTTCTAGCAGGCGTTTTCCAAGGTACATAATATTTCTTAGAGATGAGCAGAGAAAGGTGAGTCCCTTCTTCTGGGGTTGTATATGTTTATGTACAATCTTTTCTGGACTAATATTTAGGAACAAAATTCCATTAGTGTTAAAAAGACTTTCTGGCTGGGGGTTCTTGGCTGTGATGGTGGGTGAGGTTCTGAGAGCACTGGGAAAGGCATATGGTTTTATTTTTTTCACTTCACTCTCCTTGGTATTGTACTTTTTTTTTTTTATTTGAGACACTGTCGCCCAGGCTGGAGTGCTACAGTGGCATGGTCTCGGCTCACTGTAACCTCTGCCACCTGGGCTCAAGCGATTCTCCTGCCTCGGCCTCCTGAGAAGCTGGGACTACAGGTGCATGCCACCACACCCAGCTAATTTTTGTATTTTTAGTAGAGACGGGATTTCACTATATTGGCCAGGCTGGTCTGGAACTCCTGACCTCATGATCCACCCACCTCGGCTTCCCAGAGTGCTGGGATTATAGTCATGAGGCACCACGCCCAGCCGGTATTGTACTTTACTTCCACGTGACATGTCAGTAAAGTTGGATAGGTGAGTTAAAAATATTATGAAATATTTACCTTCCACAGGAAGTTTTTTTTTTTTTTCTCTTTTTTAAGACGGGGTTTCACTGTGTTGGTCAGGCTGGTCTTGGGGTTTCACCATGTTGGTCAGGCTGGTCTTGAATTCCCGATCTGAGGTGATCCGCCCGCCTTGGCCTCCAAAGTGCTTGGATTACAGGTGTGAGCCACCACGCCTGGCCCACAGGAAGTTTTAAAGACAAACCAAACAAAGTCTTTTTACTTTCCTACAAGTAAAGTATTTTACTTAGCAGTTCAGAGCATAGAATCTGGATTCAGATCACCTGGGTTTGAATCTTCCCACCACCCCTTATTGGCTATGAGACATTGGTCAAATGATTTAACCTCTCTTGCCTCAGTTTTCTCATATGTTAAATGGGAATAATAGCAGAACCTACATTGTTGGATTGTTATGAAGATTAAATCAGTTACTATATTTAAAGTATTTCTAACAAGTAAATAAATGTTAGCTATCACTACCATCATCATTATTAAAACAGATTATTAGGAAAATATATCAGTGTTATAAGAAAAAACACATTCTCAGTTGGTCAACTTGTCTTTCCCCTTCATCCTATTAATATCGTAAGGCCGGTTGCCTGCCGGGAGTCAAACGGACACATTCATCATCACTCTCTGCACCTGATAACTGCATCATCACCTGAGCTCATTATCTGGCTTTCCCACATAGCTTCCCCGCACCCGCCTCTGCATACCATGACCAAGCCCACACTCAGCACTAAATTATGCATCCAACCTCCAGCCCGCTGTTAAAAAATCCTACAGAGAAATTTTTTAAAGAAGCCCCACTGTACCCTGCCCAGCAACAGCCTGCCCCGTATGCCCCTGGCAGGCCTGTGTACCCAAGGTCCCGCCCACCTACCAGTGGCAACTAGTTTCATGTACTTCCTACTTTAACTTCATGTACTTCTTGCTCCCCAACAGCCAATAGAAATCCCTTCTCTTTGTTTCCCCAGTAGCCAATCAATTGCCTGCTCTCCCCATAAAACCCCATGCCCTGAACAGCCGGGCATGGCTTCTCTGGCCCTCCCTTGGACCACTGAAGCTCGCCCGGGAGCTGAATAAATTAGCTTCTCACTTTCTTATACTTGCCTCAGTTTCCTCATTTTACCTCAGCGATAAATCTTACAAATATATCCTAAATTTAGTTGTTCTACCATAGAAGATTCTGAAAGCTACCTACATTTATTAATTTATTTACTTACTTATTTTTGAGATGGAGTCTCACTCTGTCACCCAGGTTGGAGTGCAGTGGTGTGATCTTGGCTCACTGCAACCTCCACTTCCTGGGTTCAAGAGATTCTCCTGCCTCAGCCTCCTGAGTTGCTGGGAGTACAGGCATGTGCCACCCTGCCCTGCTAATTTTTTTGTATTTTTAGTAGAGATGAGGTTTCACCAGGTTGGTCAGTCTGGTCTCAAACTCCTGGCCTCAAATGATCTGCCTGCCTTGGCCTCCCAAAGTGCTGGGATTACAGGCATGAACCACCACACCCGGCCTATTTCTAGTTTTTAAACTCCTCCTAGCCTGCATTGTGCTCGTTTTTTCCATTTATCTATTAGCGTCTCAGTGATTTAAATAGGAGCTGATTGCCCAGGCCTGGTGGCTCACACCTGTAATCCCAACACTTTGGGAGGTCAAGGTGGGCGGATCATGAGATTAGGAAAACACCCTGGCCAACACAGTGAAACCCCATCTCTACTAAGAATACAAAAATTAGCCAGGCATGGTGGCTGGTGCCTGTAGTTCCAGCTACTCGGGAGGCTGAGGCAGGAAAATCACTTGAACCTGGGAGCCAGAGGTTGTGGTGAACCGAGATTGGGCCACTGCACTCCAGCCTGGGCGAACGAGCGAGACTCTGACTCAAAAAAATAAATAGAATAAATAAATAGGAACTGATTTTCCCTTCCCCTCCTCTAAAACAAAGCTATTATGTGTTTGCTCTATCCCCACCTTGTTCTCACAAGCCAGTCATCCCATGCTAACCACTTGTGTGAATGAAGCAGTGACCCCAAAGAGCTGCCATCCTATTTTCACCATGGGAGCCTTGTTCCCAGAGATTTGTACCCTCTATTCCTACTCCTTGGCCAAAATCTATTTTGAGGAAAGAAATTACCACATAGGGATAGGATGGTCTTACAGTCTGCTTTATTGAAGAAAGTTCCTATGGTCATGGATGAAAGGACCCCTGTGAGACTTGAGGATTTTTTCACAGTTTGAGAAGGCCTGTGATGCAGAATCAGAGAAAAAGAATCCTCCAAGGTTTACCTTGAAGAAGCTGGTTCAGCGACTGCATATCCATGAGCCTGCCCAGCACGTTCAAGCCCTGCTGGGTTACAGGTGAGGAGCTCCACCCTGAGCATACATTCCATCTAGGTAATTCCTTGACTTTTCAACATCTGTGGCCCCCATCCCGGTAGTTCTCAACCCTGGCAACATGACTCTAGGGAGACATGCCCTGTAGACCTGACTGTGGCTTTCCTTTTCTGATTCACCTATAAACATGACTCACCTTTCCTTTTCTGAGTTATTTTTAGGCATATTTGGGCAGACATGTCCTATAAACATGACTCACCTTTCTTTTCTGAGTTACTTTCTTGCCAACTTTGAAATGATAAACCTTTCTTCCCTATCTCAGATACCCCTCGAACCTACAGCTCTTTTCTCGAAGTCGCCTTCCTGGGCCTTGGGATTCTAGCAGAGCTGGGAAGAGGATGAAGCTGTCTAGGCCAGAGACCTGGGATCGGGAGCTGAGCCTGCGGGGAAACAAAGCTTCAGTCTGGGAAGAACTTATCGGTAAAGTGACCTTGGCCATCACATTCCCCCCTTCTCTTCCCCATTTATGCCCCCACATTTTAGATCCTCACTAGAAGATTTCTGTGTAATGATGAAGTTATTTGTTTGCCTGGTAGTTGTATTACTGAAAATGATTTGATTTATAAAGTCTGCCATTGACCATACCAAAGTAAACAGTGGTACCTGCTTTGAGTAATGTTGACATCATAGGTCATTATACCAGATGTGATTAGGTGATGCACAAGTTTTTATTAATATATGACAAAGGTGCCTTCTTTCTGATTGTATTTGTATCAATATTTGTGTAAGTCATTCCAAAAAAGGTAGGAGTGGCACATGGCATATTGGAATCTGTAAAGAAACTCACATTTAGGACACAGAAGTTTTAGGTAATTTGCCCGCACTGATACAGGAAAAAAAAATTCAAATTGAGGAAGACCGAGTTGTGTTCAATTTTCTTTCTCTGTTTTTTTTTTTTTTTTTTTTTTGGGGGGGGGTTCTATTTTTAATTATAGCAGGCTCTTTCTTTTGTTTTCCATTTTTATTTTATTTTTTAAATTTTAGAGACAGAGACTTTCTAATGTTGCCCAGGCTGGTCTCAAACTCACGGCCTCAAGCAATCCTCCTACCTTGGCCTCCCAAAGTGCTGGGATTACAGGCGTGAGCCACTGCACCCAGCCATAGAAGGCTCTATTTTCACATTTATATACCTTGTTTCTATTTTGTTTTCTTTTACTTCCTCTTTTATCTTTGAAAATTTGAAGTCAATTTTTTTTCTGTTGAAAAACATCTAACTTCAGACGTTTTGACTGGGTTTGTAGACTACATATTTGGGAACTTCAGTCACCCATATTGTCTTTTTTACCTCATTTCTTTGTGCCCTGCTTGTTATCAGATTGTACTCAGGGCAGCCTGAATTGTTCAGCTGCTTATCACCCCTCTCACATTCTGGTTGTCACTGGTGGTGCATCTATCAGAATCACCTGGGAATTTAAACACACACACACACACACACACACACACACACACACCCTGCCCCCAGTTGACAGGCTTTTCCCTGATAGTTGAAACCACTTGGGGTGGAGTAGAATAAAGGGGCCCGGATGGAAGCCAATAGCCAGAATATGTAGATAATTTTTTTTTTTTTTTGAGATGGAGTTTCACTCTTTTTGCCCAGGCTAGAGTGCAATGGCACAATCTCAGCTCACCTCAACTTCTGCCTCCTGGGTTCAAGCAATTCTCCTGCCTCAGCCTCCCAAGCAGCTGGGATTATAGGCTCATGCCACCATGCCTACCTAATTTTATATTTTTAGTAGAGATGAGGTTTCACCATGGTGGCCCAACTAGTCTTGAATTCCTGACCTCCAGTTAGTAATCCACCCACTTCAGCCTCCCAAAATGCTGGGATTATAGGTGTGAGCCACTGTGCTGGGCCATATGTAGATAATTCTATATGCACCATCTCCACTTCCTGCCTCTGATTGAGAACCATTGTCCCTGAAAATGTAAGGACATGTAACTTTATTCTTTTAATGTCTTTTATCCTAGGTGAGGCAAATGCCCACAGTCTAATCCCGTAGTGGCTAGAGGTTCCTTTTTTAATCATATACTACAAAAACAATTTATGGATATACCAGAATATATGTATATGTACCTTTTTCTTTCTTTCTTTCTTTTTTTTTTTTTTTTAGAAACAGGGTCGGCCAGGTGTGGTGGCTCATGCTTGTAATCCAAGCACTTTGGAGGCCAAGGTGGGCGGATCACCTGAGGTTGGAAGTTCAAGACCAGCCTGACCAACATGGTGAAACCCCGTCTTTATTTTAAAAAAAAAAAAAAAAGAAAAGAAACAGGGTCTCACTTTGTTGACAAGACTGGTCTCCAGTTGCTGGGATTACAGATGTAAGCCACTGTGCACAGCCAAAAATAAATATAAGTAAATAAAAGAAAATATAAAAATATATGGATATAATTATAAAATGTAAGATAAAATGTAATTGGGTATACAGACCCCTTTTTGGAGACCACAGATCTCATTAATAACTCATTAACAATTTTTTGGAATGAAATAAGTGAAGTTTACAATCTGAAAGATAAATGTCCAGTTTATTTTCTAATATCACAAGTATGATATTGGACTTAATTTCTTATCAAAAATGATCTAGAAAGCCTTTATACATAGTAACAGTTGAAAAAAACTTGAGTTGACAATGGATGTAATAGTTCATTTATAGTGCATATACAACCTAAAGGTTCCATACAGTTTGTGAATCAGAATTATGATGGGAGGCTGGGCGCCGTGACTCACCCCTGTAATCCCAGCACTTTCAGAGGCTGGGGTGGGCGAATTGCTTGAGCTCAGGAGTTTGAGACCAACCAGGGCAACATGGTGAAACCTTGTCTCTACCAAAAATAGAAAAATTAGCTGGGCATGTTGGTAGATGTCTATGGTCCTAGATGCTTGTAAGCCTGAAGCAGGAGGATTACTTGAGCTTGGGAGGTGGAGGTTACAGTGAGCCAAGATTGTGCCACTGCACTCTACCCTGGGTGACAGAGTGAGACTCCATCTCAAAAATAAAAGAAAGAATTATGACTGGAGAATCCCAAGACTTCCAGAGGGCTGAAAGCTTCTAGCTATAGTTCAAATGAGACTTAGATCCCCTTTACAAAGGGAGCATCACTTACCTGATAGAAGCTGCTGATGGTGTGGGCTACTGCACAAGGCACACTGAAGGACTGACATGTCTCTAAAGTGGTTTGAACGGACCTCTGTCCAGGAAAAGAAAATCACATCTCCCATTTATATTTATTTTTATCTAAAAGAAAAGAATTTTCTCAATATTTACCATGCATATTGAACCCACATAGTCTCTTGCTCAGTCCATATGATACAGTGGACTGTTGAGGTTTTCTGAGCACCCACACTCTGAGGGCATTGATGGTGCCCCTTCACTCTTTCACTCTTTTTTTTTTTTTTTTTTTGGTTTCTACATAGTGTGACTCACAGCAATTTATCTTTTTTTTTTTTTTTTTTAAGACAGGGTTTCACCACATTGGTCAGGCTGGTCTTGAACTCCCAACCTCAGGTGATCTGCCTGCCTTGGCCTCCAAAGTGCTTGGATTACAGGCGTGAGCCACTGTGCCCGGCCACAATTTATCTTTAAATTGTAGATGGAATTGGAATTATTCAGTATTAACTGAATTAATCCTCTAAAATTGATATAAACCTTAAAAATATTATTATTCGGAAACTATGGGCCGGGTGCAGTGCCTCATGTCTGTAATCCCAGCATTTTGGGGGGCCAAGGCAGGTGGATCACTGGCGGTCAGGAGTTCAAGACTAGCCTGGCCAACATGGTGAAATCTCATCTCTACTAAAATACAAAAATTAGCTGGACATTGTGGTGGGCACCTGTAATCCCAGCAACTCAGGAACGGAGGTGGGAGAATTGCTTGAATACAGGAAGCGGAGGTTGCAGTGAGCCAAGATTGTACCACTGCACTCCAGCCTGGGTGACAGAGCATAACTCCATCTCAAAAAAAGAAAAGAAACTATGGCTTGAAGGTCATATTCACTCAGGGACAAGTGAACAATAAGAAAATGACAGAAGTGAAATTCTATCTCCAGTGCAAATCTTTTTCACCTGTATTTAAGCAAAAAAAAAATTAATGACTAATCAAATCTTATAAGAAATTGGGTAAAAAACTTAAAAATTATGAAGACTATTTGAAATACGGATTTACATTCATTATTATAAATGGAGAACCTTCTTTTAATTGTATATTGTGCCTTGAAATATTAACTAATGAATGTACTACATTACGTTAGTATATACTTCATAAATCAATTTCTCTTTTGGCCATCTAAAAAGTTTGGAAAGCTTTGCCCTAGACTAGAGAATACATTTTGCCAGTTGAACCCAATCTTAGGGTTAGAGCCAACAGATAAAGTGGTAACATAAGTTGTTTATTGAAACAGCTATCCCATAAACAGTGTTGCATAAATTTTGCTCCAAACTTCAGGCCAACCCTGTTTTTAATCTTCCCAAGCCTTTAAAACATTTTGAGTAGAGTAGATTGTATGTCATTTCCTCACTTCCTCTGTCTTGGACTTTCTACAGGCTTGGTCTCTGAACTTCTTGCTCTGGTTTCTGACCTCTCTCTCATCATCTCTAATTTGCTTTTTTTTTTTTAAGAGAGTCTTGCTATGTTGGTCAGGCTGGACTCCAACTCCAGGGTCCCGGGTTCAAGTGATCCTCCTGTCTCAGCCCCCTTGGTAATGGGATTACAGCTGCATGCCACTGTGCCTGGCCTTATTTGTTTTTCTCATTCTGTGCCCCACATTCCACAGAAAATGAGAAGCTTCCCTTCATGGCCATGCTTCGGAACCTGTGCAACCTGCTTCGTGTTGGAATCAGTGCGCGCCACCATGAGCTCGTTCTCCAGAGACTCCAGCATGCGGTATGTGTGACGGGCAGGTAGCCGTGGGGCCCAGCAACTAGACGTGCATGTGGAGGCCACTGCTGTTTTGGAGGCCAGGATTTTTCAGGTTGCCAAGGAAGGTCACGGCCACCAAGCTCTTTCCATGTGGGCTGTAAGTAGGTCTGGAAATACAGGTTTGGGGGTTCAGTGAATCCTTTGAGAAGTTACAACAGAGTATAAGAGCTTTCATTTTAATTTTCTGAGCTCAGTGACTTACCAGGAAGATACACTTCTGTGATGTAACTGATTTCAGAGGGAGTCTTTATTTTTTATTTATAGAGATGGGATTTTTTTGTGTTTTATTTTTTTAGTTTTTTTTTTTTTTTTTTTTTTTTTTTAGTATGAGACGGCGTTTTGCCATGTTGGCAAGTCTGGTCTTGAACTCCTGAGCGCAGGCAATCCACCCGCCTCAGGCTCCCAAAGTGCTGTGATTATAGGCATGAGCTATCACACCCCACCTGGAGGGAGTCTTAAAAGAAACAGGGCTCCTTCTGTTAACTTTATCTTCTTTACCTCTTCTCACACCCTAAAATGATGCATTTTTTTCTTTCTCCTTATTACCCCTTTTCTATATCTCTTGTCTAAGTCCATTTTGTCCTTCTGTATCTTCCCATAAAGCTAATAGAGTAGACCCCTGAAGCCCCCCATACCCCTGGCTCCTGTGCTCATGACCTCTCCCTTGCTTTGCAGAAGTCAGTCATCCACAGTCGGCAGTTTCCATTCAGGTTTCTTAACGCCCATGATTCCATTGATGCCCTTGAGGCTCAACTCAGAAATCAAGGTATTTTGAATCTTCCTTCTTCCAGCTCCTGTTTGCCTCTCGTTTCTGACAATAAATGAAGCAGCAACACCAATATTTTCAGCCTCTTGCCTTGCAGTCTCAGGTTGTGTGGGGGTCGGGGGCAGAGGTCAGGCACTTGCCAGCCCCAAAGGTTGGGGCTCAGGCCACATTACTGGTAGGAAAAGAAGAGGGAATCGAAGGTGCCTAACTCAGAAATTTATTTATCATCACACAGCATTGCCCTTTCCTTCTAATATAACACTGATGAGGCAGATAATAACTAGAAATGAGAAGAACTGTCCCAGGCGGAGGTTTCTTTGCTCCCTAAGCCGTCAGCAGCTTCGGGCAGTAATGAGGATACCTGTGATGTATGAGCAGCTCAAGCGGGAGAAGCTGAGAGTACACAAGGCCAGGTGTGTATGTGCTGTCTGGGATCCAAGGGTGGGCAATAGGGGCTACCCTGGCACAGGTTGAAAGTCATCTGGGACGCCCAAATGTTTTTCTGTAAAGACTTGCTTGTCATTCATTGCAATGGCTCAGAATTGCCTGGTTCCTTGCACAGCACACCTTGTCTTTAACATTGTCCTAAAGAGAGATCATGAAACAAAGTCTTCTTCTGGACCTCTACTCTATTATCTGTGGTTGTTTTATTGGTTTACATCGTTCCTTTATTTTAGTTATGCTGATGTATGGTGGTGTATCCTGGTGTCCTCTCTGCTTCTGCTCTGATTCATAGTTTTCTTTCTTTTTCTTTTCTGTGACTTGTTTGCTTTTCTGTTTCTATCTCGTTCTGTATTTTTTGGCCCATTCATCTTTTTTTTTGCTTTTGTTGTGTGTGTGTATGTTTTGACATACACACAAAGATAGTTACCATCAAGCAGGCTCAAAGACAGATGTACGATCTGTTTTGTAGGCTTGGTGAAGTCTCTGCTGTCTTTTTAAGTATTTCATCAGTACCTTACACTTATTTTTACTCAGAACAACCACAGGACTCACCTAACCTTTTAGAGTGCTCAGTGACCAGGAATCTCCTGAATCAGTGGCTGAACAGAGAGCCATTAAAGAAATCAAGCCTGGCTCACACCTGCAATCCCAACACTTTGGGAGGCTGAGGCAGGTGGATCACGAGGTCAGGCGTTTGAGACCAGCTTGGCCAACATGGTGAAACCCCCTCTCTACTAAAAATGCAAAAATTAGCCAGGCATAGTTGCGGGTTCCTGTAATCCCAGCTACTTGGGAGGCTGAGACAGGAGAACTGCTTAAACCTGGGAGGCAAAGGTTGCAGTGAGCTGAGATCACACCATTGCACTCCAGCCTGTGCAACAAGAGTGAGACTCCATCTCAAAAAAAAAAAAAAAAACCCAGAATCGAGCCCAAGGTGGCAGTCCAAATGATATTCTTGTGCTATTAATATGGTAGCCTCTAGCCACATGTGGGTATTTAGCACTTGATATATACTAGTGAAGTCTGAGTTGAGACATGCTAGAAGGCAGTCAGAAAAAATAAATGTGAAATATTCATAATTTCTGTATTAATTACAGGCTGACATGAAAATATTTTTATAAGGTTAAATAAAATACAATATTAAATTAATTTTAGCCAGGTGCAGTGGCTTGCACCTGTAATCCCACCTACTTGGGAGGCTGAGGTGGGAGAATCACTTGAGCTCAGGAATTTGAGGCTGTAGTGAGCTATGATTGTGTTACTGCACAGACTGGGCAACAGAGCAAGACCCTGTCCCTATTTTTTGTTTTGTTTTGTTTTTTTGAGACAGGGTTTTATTCCCATCACCCAGGCTGGAATTCAATGGCACGATCTCGGCTCACTGCAACCTCCACCTCTCCAGCTTAAGGAATTCTCCTGTCTCAGCCTCCCAAGTAGCTATGACAATAGGCACACACCACTGCACCCAGCTAATTTTTGTATTTTTTGTAGAGATAGGGTTTACTGTGTTGTCCAGGCTGGTCTCAAACTCCTAGGCTCAGTGATCCACCTACCTGGGCCTCCCAAACCAAAGTGCTGAGATTTTTTTTTTTATAGGCATGAGCCAAGGACCCCGTCTCTCTCTTTTTTTTGTTTGAGACAGAGTCTCACTTCGTCACCCAGGCTGGTGTGTTCTTGGCTCACTGGATCTCTGCTTTCCCCGTTCAAGTGATTCTTCTGCCTCAGACTCCCAAGTAGCTGGGATTACAGGTACGTGACACCACACCCAGCTAATTTTTGTATTTTTAGTAGAGACAGGGTTTCACCATGTTGGCCAGACTGATCTTGAACTCCTGACCTCAAGTGATGCACCTGTCTTGGCCTCCCAAAGTGCTGTGATTACAGGCGTGAGCCACCATGTCTGTCCTGTCTCTTAAAGAAGAGAAAATTAATTTCACCATTAATAAAATTAATTTATTTTTACTCTTTAAAATGTGACTATCGCCGGGCGCGGTGGCTCAAGCCTGTAATCCCAGCACTTTGGGAGGCCGAGGCGGGTAGATCATGTCAAGAGATCGAGACCATCCTGGTCAACAAGGTGAAACCCCGTCTCTACTAAAAGTACAAAAAGTAGCTGGGCATGGTGGTGCATGCTGGTAGTCCCAGCTACTTGGGAGGCTGAGGCAGAAGAATTGCTTGAAGCCAGGAAGCGGAGGTTGTGGTGAGCCGAGATTGTGCCATTGCACTCCAGCCTGGGTAACAAGAGCAAAACTCCGTGTCAAAAAAAAAAAAATGTGACTGTTAGAAAATTGGATGTATATAATTTAAGTTTGATTTGATTGTAATTTAATTCGATTGGATAGCGCTGGGAATACTACTGATTTTGCCAGACTAAAAAATTAGTATAAAAAACTTTAAATAGGCTGGGCACAGTGGCTCATGCTTGTAATCTTAGCCCTTTGGGAGGCTGAGGCAGGTGGATCACCTGAGGTCAGGAGCTTAAGACCAGCCTGGCCAACATGGCGAAACCCTGTTCTACTAAAACTACAAAAAATTAGCCAGGTGTGGTGGCGGGCGCCTGTAATTCCAGCTACTTGGAAGGCTGAGGCAGGAGAATCGCTTGAACCCCAGGGGCAGAGGTTGAGTGAGCTGATATCATGACACCACTCCAGCCTAGGCCAAAGAGCAAAACTCTGTCTCAAAAAAAAAACAACAACAAAGCTTTATGCACCCAAGTAATGAAAATATAGTAGACTTTCATAAAACTGTTTGCCAGATTCAGTGATTATCTAGATTTTATCGCATTTTCTTTACTGATCTCTTTTTTCCTTCGATTTTTTTTTTTTTTGAGACGGAGTCTTGCTCTATAGCAGCAAGCTAGAGTGCAGAGTGGTGCAATCTTGGCTCACCGAACCTCCACCTCCTGGGTTCAATCGATTGTATTCCTCCCAAGTAGCTGAGATTACAGGTGCCTGCCACCACACCTAGCTAATTTTTGTATTTTTAGTAGAATCAGGGTTTCACCATCTGGTCTTGAACTGCTGACCTCATGATCCACCCACCTTGGCCTCCTAAAGTGCTGGGGATTACAGGTGTGAGGCACCACACCCGCCCCCCGCCCTCCCCACCCCCCCCATCCAAAGATGTTTTTATTTATTTATTTTTATTTTTATTCTTTTTAAAATTGCATTTTAGGTTTTGGGGTATATGTGAAGAACATGCAAGATTGTTGCATAGGTACACACGTGACAGTGTGATTTGCTGCCTTCCTCCCCATCACCTATATCTGGCATTTCTCCCCATGGTATCTCTCCCCAACTCCCCATCCCCTGCTGTCCCTCCCCTATTTCCCCCCAACAGACCCCAGTGTATGATGCTCCCCTCCCTGTGTCCATGTGTTCTCATTGTTCAACACCCGCCTATGAGTGAGCACATGCAGTGTTTGATTTTCTACTCTTGTGTCAGTTTGCTGAGAATGATGGTTTCCAGGTTCATCCATGTCCCTGCAAAGGACACTAACTCATCATTTTTGATGGCTGCATAATATTCCATGGTGTATATGTGCCACATTTTCCCTGTCCAGTCTATCATTGATCGGCATTTGGGTTGGTTTCAGGTCTTTGCTATTGTAAACAGTGCTGCAATGAACATTCGTGTGCGTGTGTCCTTATAGTAGAACGATTTATAGTCCTTTGGATATATACCCAGTAATGGGATTGCTGGGTCAAATGGAATTTCTATTTCTAGGTCCTTGAGGAATCACCACACTGTCTTCCATAATGGTTGAACTAATTTACACTCCCACCAGCAGTGTAAAAGTGTTCCTATTTCTCCACATTCTCTCCAGCATCTGTTGTTTCCAGATTTTTTAATGATCGCCATTCTAACTGGCATGAGATGGTATCTCTATGTGGTTTTGATTTGCATCTCTCTAATGACCAGTGATGATGAGCATTTGTTCATATGTTTGTTGGCCTCATGTATGTCTTCTTTTGTAAAGTGTCCGTTCATATCCTTTGCCCACTTTTGAATGGGCTTGTTTGTTTTTTTCTTGTAAATCTGTTTTAGCTCTTCGTAATTTCTGGGTATCAGCCCTTTGTCAGATGGGTAAACTGCAAAAATCTTTTCCCATTCTGTTGGTTGCCAATTCGCTCTAATGACTGTTTCTTTTGCCGTGCAGAAGCTGTGGAGTTTGATTAGATCCCATTTGTCTATTTTGGCTTTTGTTTCCAGTGCTTTTGGTGTTTTGGTCATGAAGTCCTTGCCTACTCCTATGTCCTGAATGGTTTTGCCTAGATTTTCTTCTAGGGTTTTTATGGTTTTAAACCATAAAAGACCTAAGTTTTATGTTTAAGTCTGGAGTTAATTTTAGTGTAAGGTGTCAGGAAGGGGTCCAGTTTCTGCTTTCTGCACATGGCTAGCCAGTTTTTCCAACACCATTTATTAAACAGGGAATCCTTTCCCCATTGCTTGTTTTTGTCAGGTTTGTCAAAGATCGGATGGTTGTAGATAGGTTATGTTGCCTCTGAGGCCTCTGTTCTGTTCCATTGGTCTATATCTCTGTTTTGGTACCAATACCATGCTGTTTTGATTACTGTAGCCTTGTAGTATAGTTTGAAGTCCGGTAGTGTGATGCCTCCCGCTGTGTTCTTTTTGCTTAGGATTGACTTGGCTAGCTGGGCATGGTGGCGCATTCCTGTAATCCCAGCTACTCAGGAGGCTGAGGCAGGAGAATTGCCTGAACCCAGGAGGCAGAGGTTGCGGTGAGCCGAGATCGCACCATTGCACTCCAGCCTGGGTAACAAGAGTGAAACTCCGTCTCAAAAAAAAAAATAATAATAATTGACTTGGCTATGCAGGCTCTCTTTTGGTTCCATATGAAGTTTAAGGTGTTTTTTTCCAGTTCTGTGAAGAAGGTCATTGGTAGCTTGATGGGAATAGCATTGAATCTGTAAATTACTTTGGGCAGTATGGCCATTTTCATGATATTGATTCTTCCTAACCATGAACATGGAATATTTCTCCATCTGTTTGTGCCCTCTCTTATTTCATTGAGCAGTGGTTTGTAGTTCTCCTTGAAGAGGTCCCTTACGTTCCTTGTTAGTTGTATTCCTAGGTACTTTATTCTCTTTGTAGCAATTGTGAATGGCAGTTCGTTCTTGATTTGGCTCTCTTTACGTCTGTTATTGGTGAATAGGAATGCTTGTGATTTTTGCACATTGATTTTATATCCTGAAGACTTTGCTGAAGTTGCTTATCAGTTTCAGGAGTTTTTGGGCTGAGATGATGAGGTCTTCTAGATATACTATCATGTCGTCTGCAAATAGAGACAATTTGACTTCCTCCTTTCCTAATTGAATACCCTTTATTTCTTTTTCTTGCCTGATTGCTCTGGCTAGAACTTCCAGTACTATATTGAATAGGAGGGTGAAAGAGGGCCTCCCTGTCTAGTGCCGGATTTCAAAGGGAATGCTTCCAGTTTTTGCCCATTCAGTATGATATTGGCTGTTGGTTTGTCATAAATAGCTTTTATTATTTTGAGATACGTTCCTTCAATACCTAGTTTATTGAGGGTTTTTAGCATAAAGCGCTGTTGAATTTTGTCAAAGGCCTTCTCTGCGTCAATTGAGATAATCATATGGTTTTTGTCTTTGGTTCTGTTTATGTGGTGAATTACGTTTATAGACTTGCATATGTTGAACCAGCCTTGCATCCCCGGGATGAATCCTACTTGATCATGGTGGATAAGCTTTTTGATGTGCTGTTGCAATTGGCTTGCCAGTATTTTACTGAAGATTTTTGCGTCTATGTTCATCATGGATGTTGGCCTGAAGTTCTCTTTTCTTGTTGAGTCTCTGCCAGGTTTTGGTATCAGGATGATGTTGGTCTCATAAAATGATTTGGGAAGAATTCCCTCTTTTTGGATTACCAAAGATGTTTTTAAAACAAAAGTCAAAGAATAAGACACATTTTATTTCACCTTTTCTTATTTCATTTGTGTTTCTTTAAAAAGGGACTTTTTTTTTTTTTACATAATGTCATTAATATACCTGACAAAATTAAAAATAATTCCTTGGTATTATCATCTGTTATCTACTCCATATTCAGATTTTCTAATTGTTTTAAAATATAAATTTACGGTTTTATTCAAATCCAGATCTAAACAAGGCCTACACATTGCATTTGGTTGTTAAGTCACTATGTCGATTTTAACCATTTAATTGTTCTTATACCATTGAGTTACTGTGAAAACCAGGTTCAGGGGCCCCACAGAATATCCCATATTCTGGATTTGCCTCCCTCCTCATGGTGTCATCTAACTTGTTTTTCTGTTTCATGTTCATTAGCTCTAAAGGCTTGAACAGATTTGCCTTTTTTTTTTTTTTGCAAGTATTTCATAGGTGATCCTATATATATATGTTATTTAAGTGGGACCACTCCTTAGGGTCAACACTTGATATTGATCAGTGTTTTTAGATGGTATAGCCTAATCTCTCCATAATAGTTAATGGCTCATCTATTGGTAATCTTTTCGTGAACCAATTGCTTCATTGTTTGTTGCAGAGTAAGGGTTTTATCATTCTTCCATATTTATTAACTGGAATTTTTAAAAGAGCCTCCCTTATCAACTAAATCTATTCAGTTACCCTGAAATAGATTGTATGAGAAAGGTGGGATGAGTAATCAACTTATTTTCTTTTAATTGCCAGTTTTCAGAGTAAGGAGTTAGCATTTGTTCTTTAAAATAGGATTTAAAACTATGTAGCCATTAAATCTTGCTTCATGAAGTAAGAATGGATTCGTGTGGTAAGTGTAGCTAGTGGGTCCACAGGTGACTTCCTGTCTCCCACCAGTGAGTGTGGGTTAGAAGAGTCCTATAGAATGGGGGCAGAGGGAAGCTCTGTCCTAGTCCTCTATACCAGCAATGGAGCAGGCTGGGGAGGGGGGTGTGATGTTTGAGGCGGGAGGGAGAAGACTCAATACTTAAGTGGCAAGTTCTCATCTTCCCATCTACCTCTAAGGGGCAGGCAGATAAGTCCCTGAGCCCGTGTGTCTGTGTCTTTCTTGCCTGTAGACAGTGGAAATATGATGGTGAGATGCTGAACCGGTATCGACAGGCCCTGGAGACAGCTGTGAACCTCTCTGTGAAGCACAGCCTGCCTCCGCTGCCAGGCCGCACCATCTTGGTCTATCTGACAGATGCTAATGCAGACAAGCTCTGTCCCAAGAGCAACCCAAAAGGGGTAAGAAAATCAAAAGCATCCTCCAAGGGGTTGATAGGCTGCTGGGGATCCTGAATTGGGTATCCTTTTCCTAGAGCTGGTTCTTCCAGGCAAGCACTCAGACTGAAGTAAATGATATGAATTTGCTTCCAAGTGTCAGTCCCTGGTTCCTAGGAACAATTCCTAGGATATTGTTTCAACCAGGTTTGTGGATAATACTAGTGTTTCACCTTTGGCTGGTACTTGGTACTTTCTAAATTTCCATTGCCAAAATGTATCTCACTTTTACCTTACTATACTCAGTGTTGAACTTGGGCAGGGATCCTGGCTCCTCTCTTCCTCCTTTCACAGTCAGCTCTTCTTGAGGGCTGCTGAAGCTGACCCCTCCTAACTTGGGATTTTATGCCTTTCCTCATTCCCCGAAACCAGTGGGAGGGTTTGGCCTCCAGGGATGGACGGGTAAGGGTGAATTCCAGAGCAAGGGAGCTTTATTTCCCCTGATACTTGTCAAACCAGCCCCCACTGAACTATGTGCTGCTGTTGATTGGGATGATGATCACAACAGCGGAGCAGGTGGATGTCGTGCTGTGTGGAGGAGACACTCTAAAGACTGCAGTGCTTAAGCCAGAAGAAGGCATCCTGAAGACTGCCATTAAGCTCCAGGCTCAAGTCCAGGTCAGACACTCACCCCAACCATCCAAAAATACACAAAGGACACAGGCCTGGGAATAGCCCAGGTATTTGGTAAAGGCGCAGATAACCATAGTTCTGAAGATTTCCCAAGCGGTGTTTGTCACTTACTGTGCAACCACATAACATGAAGTCTCTTTCCTTCAGGAGTTTGATGAAAAGAATGAATGGTCCCTGAATACTTTTGGGAAATACCTGCTGTCTCTGGCTGGCCAAAGGGTTCCTGTGAGTATTGCTCAATCTCTGAGAAATCCTCTCTCTCCCTGTCATTTTATTCTATAATAGATATATATCATTTTTGGACCTTTAAAGCTGACTTATCCAACCATGTACAGTATTCAGATCAGCTCTCTACTGGCCACAACCCCTACTCAGTGGTGTGCTGGTAAATGTCTAACACCCAGCTGTCTGGAAAAATAAGCCTTGGTTAACAGCGTCTGCTAATTTCCATGGTATAAACAGTCCTACTGAGGCTGATTTCAAACTCCCAACATGATGCTACTGAACACAGAGTTGGGAAAAGATGTTCAGGAGCACACCACTGTGTAATATTCCCACAATCCTGGTACAGTAGATGTAAATAAGGATGAGCAGATCATAGTAAAATGTAGTAAAATTATTAGGAAGTTATGCGTTTTGAATATTTATTACATTTATGTTATTTTCTGGTTTTTTATATTTTGAGACAGGGTTTCACTCTGTTGCCCAGGCTAGAGTGAAATGGCCCGATTATAGCTCACTGCAACTAAAACTCCTGGGCTCAGGTGATTCTCCTGCCTCAGCTTCCCAAGTAGCTGGGACTACTGGTGTGTGCCAACATGTCTGGCCATATTTGTTTAAATATAACTTATTTAATTTTTTAAACATATGCAATTTAATGTTTAATAATGTCCATCTTTAGCAACCGCTCATAAAATTTCTAAAAATGTAACAATCCGCTCTCTTGAGCCTGAATGAGCCAGCTACAGCATACCACTGCCCCACTCCAACCTCCACTTTGATGTCCCCTGAGCTTCCCTCATTCTGTGTGCTCAGGAGAGGCACTCCCGTCAGAGTTCTCTAATCCTCCTGTCCTCAGAAAGCTCATATCTTAATGTCCTGGGTCTCTAGCATCCCTTCTCTAGCATCTTCTCCCCTTTCATCTTACAGGTGGACAGGGTCATCCTCTTTGGCCAAAGCATGGATTATGGAATGATAAATGTGGCCAAACAGCTTTACTGGCAGCGTGTGAATTCCAAGTGCCTCTTTGTTGGTATCCTCCTAAGAAGGGTTCAGTACCTGTAAGAGTGCTTATCCTTCCTGCCCAGTGTCAGAAATTAGTGGTCTACGTTTCCTCTCTACCTCTCCCAAAGCCTAGGATACCCCCACTTGCCACGTACCTCCCCAACTCTGCCTTCTTACTTCTGTTGCACTTCAGGAAGATACTTTATCCTAACTTTGTACCCCTCTGTGAGAGTCCACCCTAGCCCTAGCCTAGCACGTAACCCGATTAAAGGTGCAGAAGTGGGGTTTCCATCATGGGATGTTAGTAGGCAGTCACTGTGTTCCAGGTACTGTTTGTGATGGTTAGTGACTGCTTCTTCCTTTGCCAGGTCAACAGATTTGAATCCCAATGATGTGACACTCTCAGGCTGTACTGATGGGATACTGAAGTGAGTACAAAATAGACATTGCAGGCTTGGAGACTTTGTTAGAAAGTCTTTAGGAGACTATCTCTATTCCAATCACTTCTTTTTTATTTTTATTTATTTATTTATTTATTTTTTGGGGGGGGGAGGAAGGCAGGAAGGAAGGGAATAAGGACGGTAGGGAGGAAGGAAGGGATGAAGGAAGGAAGGAAGGGAGGAAGCGGCGAGGGAAGGAGGGAGGAACGGAGGGAGGGAAGGGAAGAAAGGAAATCAAGCGATGAAAGAGACATTGCCGACCTGGATCTAGAGGTTTACAAGTTGATTTCTTTTTTTTTTTTGAGAGAAGGAAAGAAAAAAAAAATAAGTAAAGGAGAGGAAGAAAGAGGAAGAGAAAGAGGGAGAGTAAATGGAAATATTGCTTTATTTTGAAAAAAATTGGGTATTAATAATGGCCAATCAATGTTTCATTTAAACTAATGGGTAGGTGTGATGTGGTATTGACAAGAATGTATATTTTGTGTATTTGAAGTGGAGAGCTCTATAAATATTTATTAAGTTTACTTGTTCCGGATCTGAGTTCGAGTCCTTGATATCCTTATTAATTTTCTGTCTCATTGAATCTAAGTCTCCTATCTGGGTGTTAGGATCGTTAGCTCTTGTTGTTGCATTGATCCTTTTACCACTATATCTTTGTTGCTTTAAAATCTATTTTATCCGATACAAGAATTGCAATTCCTGCTTTTTATTTATTTATTATTTATTTTTGCTCTCTATTTGGTTGGTAAATCTTTCTCCATCCCTTTGTTTTGAGTCTTTGTGTATCCTTGCAAGTGAAACAGGTCTGGATGTAACATGCCGTTGGGTTTTGGCTGTGTCTTTTGATTGGGAATTCAGTCAATTTAAATTTAGGGTTACTGCCATTTGATGTTGACTGGCTGTTTTATCCATTCGTTGGTGTAAATTCTTCTTTATGTTGGTGCTCTTTATTTTTTGGTGTATTTTTAGAAAGGCTAATACTGGTTGTTTCTTTCTGTGTGTAATGCTTCTTTCAGAAGCTCTTGTAAAGCAGGCCTGGTGGTAATAAAATCTCTGAGTTCTTGCTTGTTCATAAAAGATTTTATTTTTCCTTCAGTTATGAAGCTTAGTTTGGCTGGATATGAAATTCTGGGCTGAAGGTTCTGTTCTTTGAGGATGTTGAATATTGGCCCCCACTCTCTTCTGGCCTGTAGAGTTTCTGCTGAGAGATCTGCTGTAAGTCTGATAGGCTTGCCTTTGTGGGTAATCTGACCTTTCTCTCTGGCTGCCTTTAGTATCCTCTCCTTCGTTTCAACCCTGGTGAATCTAATGATTATGTGCCTTGGGGTTGCTCTTCTTGAGGAATATCTTTGTGGTGTTCTCTGTATTACCTGGGGTTCAATGTTGACCTGCTTTGCTAGTTTAGGAAAATTTTCCTGAATAATATCCTGAAGGATATTTTCCAGCTTGGATTCATTCTCTCCGTCGCATTCAGGTACACCTATCAAACGTAAATTTGGTCTTTTCACATAGTCCCACATTTCTTGGAGACTTTGCTCATTCCTTTTTATCCTTTTTTCTCTAATCTTTTCTTCACGTTTTATTTCATTAAGTTGGACTTTGACCTCTGATATCCCTTCTTCTGCTTGAACAATTCGAGTGTTTAAACCTGTGCATACTTCTTGGAGTTCCTGTATTGTATTCTTCAGTTACATTAATTCACTCATACTCCTCTCTAAGTTGTCTATTCTCAATAGGATTTCATCAAACCTTTTTTCAAAATTCCTAGTTTCTTTACGTTGGGCTACAACATGTTCTTTTAACTCACTGAAGTTTGTTATTATCCATTCCTTGAAGAGTGATTCTGTCATCAGGAGGCGCTCGTTCTCCATCAAGCCTTGTTCCATTGTTGATGTGGAACTGTGATCATCTTTAGAGGGAGAGGCGTTCTGACTTTGAGTGTTCTCAGCTTTTTTACACTGGTTTCTTCCCGTCATTGTAAATTTATCCTCCTGTCGTCTTTGAAATTACCAACTTTCAGATTAGGTCTCTTGAGTGGACGTCCAGGTTTTTAGTTCCCCGGGCCAGAGCAGCGGCGTTAAAACTGATGGTGCTTTTCTGCCCAGGATTCTCCTGTCGGGCTTCCTTCTTGTTTCCGTAGTAGGCGACTCTGCCTTCCTGGGGCTCCAAACCTCGGTCAGAAGGGGAACCGGTCCGGTTTACTCTGCGCCGAGCGCTGCCGCGCCGAGGTGCCGGCAGAACCGCTGCGCCGACCACGAGAGTCACGCTGGCGACTCGTGTGTTTCCACCACTGGGGGATCTTCTGCTCCATGAGCGACCAGACTTTGTCTGAAAGTGTGGCGTCCTCTAGTTCTCCGCGCCTTCCCTGAGAGCTGCAATCCCGGGATGTTAGCGATCGGCCATCTTGGATCGTTCTCCAAATCACTTCTTTTTTAAAGTATGATAGTTTATTCCTCTTTTACAGCCATCCAGGCATAGCAGCAACACAGTGTCACAGGGACCCAGGCACTTTCTCTCTTACTGCTCCATCATCCTCAAATACTCAGCTTCTACCTCATGATTCAATATGTCTGCTTCAGCTCCAGCCAGTAGGAAAGAAGAAAAGGGACATGGGAGATTTCACTGTAGAGTTGGCCATGTCATAGTGGCTTCTGTTCAATTCTTGATGCAGAGAAAATTACATCTATATAAGCTAAATTATAGAAATCTTTTCATGTTTTTTTTCTCTCTCCATTCTTTGCCTTCTTATTTACTTGTTTTCTCCCCTGCCTTTACTTTTGGATACCATCCATTTCCCTTAACTCCTATTAGGAAGCCTCAGGCACATTCCTCCTTCTCCAGGGAACCTTTATGGCTGGCACAGAGCTACTCAAACCCAGACTGGATGGCTTTAATTTTTACACCTTATTCTAGCCCATTGCCCCTGGCCCAATAGCAAGTTTATGATTACTGTGCACAGCAGGAAAGGCGAGCTGGGCTTCTTCTCTTTTCCTTCATTCCAATGGTTCTGCATCCTCATTTATTTCAAGTCTGCATAAACTGCTTATGGTCATCTTCTTAACTGGTGACCAAACCTAGACATATCTTCCCCCCTCGACCTTTTTGGAAGGCCTCCCTGATTTTGATCTCTGTTATTCTACTCATATTTATCTTGTTATTTATGTCAGGTTCATTGCAGAGCATGGGGCCTCTCATCTTCTGGAACATGTGGGCCAAATGGACAAAATATTCAAGATTCCACCACACCCAGGAAAGACAGGGATCCAGACTCTCCGGCCACTGGAAGAGGACACTCCAAGCCCCTTGGCTCCTATTTCCCAGCAAGGGTCAGTGTGTGTTTCTAGGCCTTTGTGAATTGGGAGGGGCTGCAGTCAAACCTGGAGAAACGGACTGAAATTCTATCTGGTGAGGTGCTGCTTGTTCTCTTCATGAAAGTATGCTTCCTCTTTCTCAGGCAAGGGTTTCTCTACCACAGGGAGTTGTCAGATTCTGAGCAAGCCCTTCCTTTCTCTACTGAGCAAAGAAGGTCAGAATGCAAAGAGGATGGCAGACATCATCGCCGTATGGCCAGGGCGTAGGCAGAGGGGTTAGGAGCACAGGTTCTGGCTTTTTTATTGTGGCTTTGCCAAATAGTAGTTTGAACCTCGCCTAGTGGCTTAATTTCTTAAAGGTATAGTTTCTGATTGGTAAAATGGAGATAATGATAGAGCTTACCCCACAGGGTTGTCACGAACAAACAGTAAGAACGTAATCATGATTACTAGAAAAAGGAGAGGTGTACAAGAAATAGCAAGTTGGGTTTAAATTCCAGGTACCTACAGTTGAGACCACAAGCAGGGGATTCTCTGAAGGCCTGCTGGGCACCTGTCTGCTGTCTGTCTTACCTGCCTTGTGCTAAGTACTAAAGGGTGATCACAGCAGTGTCTGTGTAATGGGTGATGGAGCTCATCCCTGGATTGACCCCAGCCTTCTGCTTATCCCCAGATGGCGCAGCATCCGGCTTTTCATTTCATCCACTTTCCGAGACATGCATGGGGAGCGGGACCTGCTGCTGAGGTCTGTGCTGCCAGCACTGCAGGCCCGAGCGGCCCCTCACCACATCAGCCTTCATGGCATTGACCTCCGTTGGGGTGTCACTGAGGAGGAGACCCGTAGGAACAGGTGTGGGGGATGCAGAGAAGAGGGGCTGGGTCAGGGATGAGGGGCTTGAGTGGTGGACCTGAGGTGGGCAGGGCTGGGGCTGCAAGAATGGATGAGGATGAAGGCGGGAGTTGCCCCTTGGATACTAACAAGAGCAGCCTACCTTCTCTTTTCTCAGTTGCGAGCCAGGGCCCTGTCTCCCTATTTGTGCTTATGTTCCCTGATACCATGCCCCCAGTGACTCCCACGTGTCCCTATAACCATGCCTACAGACAACTGGAAGTGTGCCTCGGGGAGGTGGAGAATGCACAGCTGTTTGTGGGGATTCTGGGCTCCCGTTATGGATACGTTCCTCCCAGCTACAACCTTCCTGACCATCCGCACTTCCACTGGGTAAGGCATACAGGTTTGGAGGAGAGCTGGGGAGGAAACAAAGGTTGGGGCAAAGGCCAGGAGAAGCCACACTCTGTCAGGAACCCTGGACAGGCAGGTCCTTGAGACGATGTGAAATACAGGCTGAAGATACTGCAAGTGACCATGCTCTAGATGAGGAAATTCCTTTGAGAAGTACCTCTGGGGTTGGCCAAGAGTAAATGTAAGAGGGTAGGTCTGTTTAGGTGTTGCCATAAGATAGATCTGGGCCCTGATCTCCCTTCTGTCATCTACAAGTTGTGTGCCTTTGTGGAATGCAGCTTAATCTAACCTAGCCTCAATTTCCCTACACGTTAAAGAGAAGCAATGACATTTACATTGGAGGGTTATTATGCGAATTGAAAGTCTGTAACAGGGCCAGGGGTGGGGGCTCATGCCTGTAATCCTAGCACTTTGGGAGGCTGAAGTGGTGGATCAGCTGGGGTCAGGAGTTCAAGACAAACTTGGCCAACATGGCGAAACCCCGTCTCTACTAAAAATATTAAAAATTAACTGGGCGTGGTAGCTACTTGGGAGGCTGAGGCAGGAGAATCGTTTGAACTTGGGAGGTGGAGGTTGTAGAGAGCTGAGATTTTGCCATTGCACTCCAACCTAGGCAACAAGAGTGAAACTCCGTCTCCAAAAAGCAACAAAAACAAAAGTCTGTAACAGAATACTCAATACATTACAGGCATTCAATAAATGTTATCTGTTAGTGCCTTCTTTGAGAGAAAAAATAAAAATAACTAAAAAACATTAGCCATTAGCTATATTTTATTGCTTACGTCTAGAGGGAGGGAGAGAAGAATATCACAGATACAAGAGGCCTGGGGCCTTGGCAGGTCTGGAGGGAGGGTCATGGTGGCCTAGGACTAAACCCACTGTCTCTGCCCTCCCTGCAGGCCCAGCAATACCCTTCAGGGCGCTCTGTGACAGAGATGGAGGTGATGCAGTTCCTGAACCGGAACCAGCGTCTGCAGCCCTCTGCCCAAGCTCTCATCTACTTCCGGGATTCCAGTTTTCTCAGGTACTTTCTGTTGCCTACAGGGTTGGGGCTCCTTCCCTAGAAGACCAGACAGGCTAGTCTCTCCTATTCAGAGTATAGAAGTGGAGTGCTATGAGACAGAAACAGGACTCAGCATGCTTTTGCAGCCCCATGTCAGCCTTGATGCTGGAGTCAGGAGATCTCTACTTGAGGAGCTTCAGGAAATCACAGCTATGTCTGGTGGTTGGTGGAGGGAGGCTGTCTGGGGTCTGAATCTATTCCAACTTTTGGGGTCTTTGGTGGTCAGCTCTGTGCCAGGTGCCTGGAAATCTGACTTTGTTTCTGAGTCTGAAGAGGCCGCATGTCGGATTTCAGAACTGAAGAGCTACCTAAGCAGACAGAAAGGGATTACCTGCCGCAGGTGAGCTGAGGGAGGTAGGGACCACCTGTACAGAGATGAGGTGAGAGGAGCCAGGCCTGCTCTGACCTGGTTGTGCTTGATTTGCCCACAGATACCCCTGTGAGTGGGGGGGTGTGGCAGCTGGCCAGCCCTATGTTGGCGGGCTGGAGGAGTTTGGGCAGTTGGTTCTGCAGGATGTGTGGAATATGATCCAGAAGCTCTACCTACAGGTCAGCAGAAGCACTGAAGACCAGAGGAGTGGAGAGGGACATGGGGTGGTCTGGGTTGTCCTGGGTAGGAAGTAACTTGGTGGGGACTCTGTGAGTTTTAGCCTGGGGCTCCTGAGGAACATGGCACCATGGATAGTCACTGCCCAATATACCCTCAGCCTGGGGCCCTGCTGGAGCAGCCCGTTTCCATCCCAGATGATGACTTGGTCCAGGACACCTTCCAGCAGCTGCAGAAGCCACCGAGTCCTGCCCGGCTACGCCTTCTTCAGGACACAGTGCAGCAGCTGATGATGCAACACGGGAGGCTGAGCCTGGTGACAGGGCAGTCAGGACAGGGCAAGACGGCCTTCCTGGTACAGAGTCTCAGGGGCCTGGGCTGGAGGGAGGGAAGGTTGTGTGGGCTGAGGTAAGGCACAGGGAGCTCAAGCATGTAAAATGTGACCATGTTTTCTGTTCCTGCCCCATGCAGGCATCTCTTGTGTCAGCCCTGCAGGCTGCTGATGGGGCCAAGGTGGCACCATTAGTCTTCTTCCACTTTTCTGGGGCTCGTCCTGACCAGGGCCTTGCCCTCACTCTTCTCAGACGCCTCTGTACCTATCTGCATGGCCAACTGAAAGACCCAAATGCCCTCCCCAACACCTACCGGTGGGTATCCCCAGTGAGCCTGGCCTTGATGATGCCTGAGGTACCACCACTGTGTTTCTCTCTCTCCCACTGACCCTGACTTCCTCTCCATGTACAGAAGTCTGGTGTGGGAGCTCCAGCAGAGGCTGCTGCCCAAGTCTGCTGAGTCCCTGCAGCCTGGCCAGACCCTGGTCCTGATCATCGATGGGGCTGATAGGTTGGTGGACCAGAATGGGCAGCTGATTTCAGACTGGATCCCAAAGAAGCTTCCCCGGGTGAGTGTGAGAAGGAGGTGGGTGTGGGGAGGCAGGCTGGGGAGAAGGAGGGATACAGCAGGGAGGAGAGGGGACTCTTCAATGTGGTTCTCCTTTTCTTTCTCCCCTCCTGCCCCTTTGCTCAAATATTATAGTGTGTACACCTGGTGTTGAGCGTGTCTAGTGATGTGGGCCTAGGGGAGACCCTTGAGCAGAGCCAGGGTGCCCACGTGGTGGCCCTGGGGCCTCTGGAGGCCTCTGCTCGAGCCCGGCTGGTGAGAGAGGAGCTGGCCCTGTACGGGAAGCGGCTGGAGGAGTCACCATTTAACAACCAGGTTGGATTCTAGGCCAGGGCTGGTAGTTGTGTGGGGTGAATCTGGGGGCTAGGAGGACCTGAGTGCTGAGGCTGCTAGTGCCTTGCACATGCTCCTTTGTTTTCTCAGAAACTCTGTCCATGGGAAGTTGTTAATAAGAAAATTGTGATTCCTGATAATGTCACCCAGCCCTCTTCCCCAAGTGAATGGCCTTTCTGGGGCCTCTCGGGGTGAGAGGATGAGTAAAGTGGTTTGTGGTGGGGTAGGCTGAGCCACAGGGGTTTTCCGGCAGGGCTGGCTGGGCAGAGCAGTGTGGGAGAGGGATGGTTGTGTCCTGGGGTGATGCCGTGGACCTGCTGCCTGCTGGGGACTCTCAGAGGAGGAGCTGCCTTGCAGAGGGGCTGGTGCTGGGGTAGAGGGCTGGCTGCAGGCAGGCCTCCTGGTTCACATGCTGAGTCCTGAGTCTTGTCAGATGCAACTGCTGCTGGTGAAGCGGGAATCAGGCCGGCCACTCTACCTGCGCTTGGTCACTGATCACCTGAGGCTCTTCACGCTGTATGAGCAGGTTGGTTCTCCTTACCTTCCAAGTCCTAATCACCACTTCCCATTCTCTCTTCATCTGCTGTGTCTCATCCCCATCCCACATCCTTTGCTGTCTTGTGATCGCCCACCCTCCCATCCTCATCTCACACCTCACCTCACTTCTCTCCCACTCTGTTCTTGACTTTTTCATTCCTCCCCACTGTCCTCCTGCTGTCCCTCCCCTATCCCACAACCCAAACTGCTTCTCCTCCTACCACACTGACTGAGGCTGTCCTCCTGCTATCCTAGGTATCTGAGAGACTCCGGTCCCTGCCTGCCACTGTCCCTCTGCTGCTGCAGCACATCCTGAGTACACTGGAGCAGGAGCATGGGCCTGATGTCCTTCCCCAGGCCTTGACCACCCTAGAGGTCACACGGAGTGGTCAGTGCTTGGGGTGGGTTGGGATGCTGAGGGCCCAGGGCTCAGATGACATTGGTTCCATTGGGGTCTCAGCAGGCAGTACAAGGAGACACTGGGTGTGGTGGGGGTGGGGATACTCTGTGGTTAGGGGTGGGCCTCAGAGAGCTTGAGTTTTCAGGTTTGACTGTGGACCAGCTGCATGGAGTGCTGAGTGTATGGCGGACACTACCCAAGGGGACTAACAGCTGGGAAGAAGCAGTGGCTGCTGGTAACAGTGGAGACCCCTACCCCATGGGCCCATTTGCCTACCTCGTCCAGAGTCTGCGCAGGTACAGGTGCCCCAGTTGAGCTCCCACTGACCTCTCTGTGTCTTCCCCTCTTTGAGCCAGGGCTCTCTGTATAGCTTCAATACCTAGATCCTAGACAGTGAATGGGCTACTACTCCAGCTGCTCCTGTTTCCGCTCTTTGAGGGGGGATTAGGAGTCCACTGCTATGCCAGGATGCTCACTGACAGGCCTCCTCCTTCTCCTCTCTCCCTTCCTCACATGAGGACAGTTTGCTAGGCGAGGGCCCTCTGGAACGCCCTGGTGCCCGGTTGTGCCTCCCTGATGGGCCCCTGAGAACAGCAGCTAAACGTCGCTATGCGAAGAGGCCAGGGCTAGAGGACACGGCACACATCCTCATTGCAGGTGATTGCAGCCCCAGTCAGCTTGGGCACTGAGTGTGGAGCTTGGGCCTGGAGGCCAGGACCACCCACTGGTGCTCGCATCTGCTGGCCACCTTCCCTGTGGCCTTTGGGAATGCTGCAGGGCCTCTCTCAATATCTGTTCATATAGCTCAGCTCTGGAAGACGTGCGATGCTGATGCCTCAGGCACCTTCCGAAGTTGCCCTCCTGAGGCTCTTGGAGACCTGCCTTACCACCTGGTTAGTTCCTAGGCCTCATAGACACCTTTTCCAAAGCGAGTGCTTTGACTGTTCTGGGACCCCTCTCCCTCTTACCATCTCCACCGTCACCACTGCCATTACCCCCTCCCAAACTCCCTCTACGTCTTTACTTTCAGTTTGCTTGCCCTTCTTCAAGTCCTGTCTCAGCTCAGATCCCATCTGTGTATCTACGTTCTGAGACTAAATTGTCCCTTCTCACCAGCCTCTTCACATCCCTAATGAATCCAATCTGACCTTCCCAGCTCCAGAGCAGGAACGTTGGCCTTCTTTCGAAGTTTCTTACCAACCTCCATGTGGTGGCTGCACACTTGGAACTGGGTCTGGTCTCTCGGCTCTTGGAGGCCCATGCCCTCTATGGTAAGATGAGTCACTGGGTGGATTCTTCTCTGAGATATGGGACTCCTGGGTATGCTTATGGAGGCCCTGCTTGGGGTTGGGGCGGGGTAGTGGGTGTAATGGAGAAAAGAGTTAAATTTCCATTTCAAGCTGAAAATGCCAAGAAGCATTTCGAAATTTCTTACCAACCTCCATGTGGTAGCTGCACACTTGGAACTGGGTCTGGTCTCCTGACTCTCAGGAGACCTTTCACCTAGAATTCTTGGACCAGAAAGTCTGAATCTAGTTAGAATAAAACTATCTAGGAAACTTGTTCAAATTGCAGATCCTTGGGTCTCCACCTTCTGGTTCCCTAGGTTTGGAGTGAGGCCCAAAACTTTGTACTTTTGACAGATATTCCTGATACAGGGCCAGAGGGCCACACTTTGAGACTTGCTATTGTAGACATACCGTATGGTTTTATTTGGTGCGGGGTTAATGGGGTCCAGCTGGCTCCCCAGTAACATTCTGCCTGTCTTTTATAGCTTCTTCAGTCCCCACAGCAGAACAAAAGCTCCCCGAGGCTGATGTTGCGGTGTTTCGCACCTTCCTGAGGCAGCAGGCTTCAATCCTCAGCCAGTACCCCCGGCTCCTGCCCCAGCAGGCAGCCAACCAGCCCCTGGACTCACCTCTTTACCGCCAAGCCCCGCTGCTCTCCCAGCGATGGCACCTCCAACACACTCTACGATGGCTTAATAAACCACAGACCATGAAAAATCAGCAAAGGTAAGACCTTGACCCCAGGCCCTAGTAAGCCCACCAGAGAGCACGCTACAGCTCTTTCTGAAACTGGAGACTAAGGATGACCAGAATCACTGTGGAGAGGGGGATCCAGGCACAGAAACACAGAAATCAGCTCCTGTTTGCTTTCTCTCTTTTATTTCCTCCCTTTCTTCCTACTCTTTCTCTAGCTCCAGCCTGTCTCTGGCAGTTTCCTCATCCCCTACTGCCGTGGCCTTCTCCACCAATGGGCACAGAGCAGCTGTGGGCACTGCCAATGGGACCGTTTATCTGTTGAACCTGAGAACTTGGCAGGTATGACAATTAAGGAGGGGCAGAATTTACCCTCTGAAAATCCATGCAGACTGCCCTGAAGCCCTAGACGAGCCAAACACACCTGTTATCACTCTGATTGATTCAGCAACTTTACATATTGCACATCAGCTCAAAGGGCTTGGTCAAAAAATCAATCACACAGCAAATATTTGCTGTACACCACCCATTTAAGGCACTGTGCTAAGCATTGCAAGAAACACAGGGCTTGGGACATTGTCATTGCTCACCAAGTGGTCAGTTTTGTTGGGAGATAAGACATACAAGGTAAAAAAGGAACCAAAACATAACCATGTAATATAATTAAGACCTGAGTGAGTTGTGCAGTTATAGGAGGACATAGGATAGAGAATGGCAGGCATTCTTGTTTGAAAGAGGAACTGAGCAAAGACACAGGGGGAGAATTTACAAATTCCCTGTAAATTGCTGGAAATTATGGCAGCAGAGAGTGCTTATGGGAAGCTAATAGTAGATTAGGCTAGAGAGGTGAGTCCTAGAGCCACAGCCTCTGTCTATCCTCTTTCCAGCCATATCCACCCCCTATCCTATGTAACCCCATTTTCTCAGACCCATCAAAATCTTCTGTAACTTGGGGAATAGGTACGGGGTTTGGAATGGGGAAGAAAATGTGGCCCCACTTGGATCACGAGGCCCCCACTTGAATGTGTGCCCTCTTGGAACATAGAGAGCCAAGGACTCATGCCCTTCATGTCTTGGCCTTTTTTGGTGGGGCCTGGAGTGGTAGGACTTAAAGGTCAGGGGGATGACCTGAACTGCACTTCCTCATTCACTGTCACAGGAGGAAAAGTCTATGGTGAGTGGCTGTGATGGAATCTCTGCTTGTTTGTTCCTCTCCGATGATACACTTTTTCTTACTGCCTTTGACGGGCTCCTGGAGCTCTGGGACCTGCAGCATGGTTGTCGGTAAGGGGTCCTCCCTGCTTGTCTTGGAGTGAGGGCTTTCCCCATTTGTTGCAAGTCCCAGGAGAAGGAAATGAGGAGGGAACTGATGGCCAGGAGCCCAGAGGACTGATGTCATCTTCCTGGGATAGGGTGCTGCAGACCAAGGCTCACCAGTACCAAATCACTGGCTGCTGCCTGAGCCCAGACCGCCGGCTGCTGGCCACCGTGTGCCTGGGAGGATGCCTAAAGGTAAGACTTGGGGGCTGCAGTGGTCAGAGTGGCCCTGAGCCATGACTCAGCCTAGTGAGGTTGTTCTCTCAGTGTGGCAAAGGCTGTTGGCTGCCTGGCCAGAGAAGGTCTTCCCTGCTGAGGGCAGGGTAAGTGGACAAGGTGACTCCTGGAAGTAGTCTGGGACTGAGAAGTTCAGGTATCTCTGCTCAGCATCCTGATTCCTCCTCTCTCCCTCAGCTGTGGGACACAGGCCGTGGGCAGCTGGCCTTCCAGCACACCTACCCCAAGTCCCTGAACTGTGTTGCCTTCCACCCAGAGGGGCAGGTAGTAGCCACAGGCAGCTGGGCTGGCAGCATCAGCTTCTTCCAGGTGGATGGGCTCAAACTCACCAAGGTAAGAAGGTCCAGTGTAGCCCTGGGGGGACGCACAGGAGGATAGGTTGGAGGGTGGCAGACAACAGACAGCAGCATTCTGGGTCACTTTGGGATTTTGCTGAGAGCAAGTCTTGACGTTTCCATTTCTACCTCCCTGTGTAGGATCTGGGGGCATCCGGAGCCTCTGTCCGTACCTTGGCCTTCAATGTGCCTGGGCGGGTTGTGGCTGTGGGCCGGCTGGACAGTATGGTGGAGCTATGGTCCTGGCGAGAGGGGGCACGGCTGGCTGCCTTCCCTGCCCACCATGGCTTTGTTGCTGCTGCGCTTTTCCTGCATGCGGGGTGTCAGTTACTGACGGCTGGAGAGGATGGCAAGGTCAGGTTGTAGAGGGCTGGTGGTGGGTTATGAGGAGGAGTAGCAAACACAAAGAATATCTGGATGCGGGGGTGGAGTCCTTTGTCGAGGAGACTGTGGAGGAGCTTGGATGGCGGGAGCCACAGAGAGAGGGGTGCTGCAGTGTGTAGGGACAGCTCTCATGAAAGAGTCTCTGAAAGGAAGACTTTAATGGGAGTGGCTGTAACTCAAAGCCGGGAGGAGGACCAGGTGGTGGAGATGGTATCCTTAATCCCTGTTCTTGGTCCCCAGGTTCAGGTGTGGTCAGGGTCTCTGGGTCGGCCCCGTGGGTACCTGGGTTCCCTTTCTCTCTCTCCTGCCCTCTCCGTGGCACTCAGCCCAGATGGTGATCAGGTGGCTGTTGGGTATCGAGCGGATGGCATTAAGATCTACAAAATCTCTTCAGGTACTGAAGGAGGAATGCGTGGGTTTTTGAGACTTTAGAAAGAGTACAGAGCCCAACCCCCTTTCCAAGTGTCTTACTCCCTTGTTCTCTCTCATTCTCTAGGTTCCCAGGGGGCTCAGGGTCAGGCACTGGATGTGGCAGTGTCTGCCCTGGCCTGGCTAAACTCCAGGGTATTGGTGAGTGGTGCAGAAGATGGATCCTTGCAAGGCTGGGCACTCAAGGAATGCTACCTTCAGTCCCTGTGGCTCCTGTCCACACACCAGAAGCCTGTGCTAGGACTGGCCACTTCCCAGCAGCTCTTGGCTTCAGCCTCAGGTACTACTGGACAGTGGGCAGGGTTAACAAATCACTTTTCCTTTAGTCTAGTTTTATTTTAGATAGAGCTTTACTCTTGTTGCCCAGGCTGCAGTGCAGTGGCTCAATTTCAGCTCACTGCAACCTCCACCTTCTGGGTTCAAGCAATTCTCCTGCAGCCTCCTGAGTAGCTGGGATTACAGGTGCCTGCCACCATGCCCAGCTAATTTTGTATTTTTAGTAGAGACAGGGTTTCACCTTGTTGGTCAGACTGGTCTCGAACTCCTGACCTCAAGTGATCCACCCACCCTGGTTTCCCAGGGTGCTAGGATTAGAGGCATGAGCCATCGTGCCTGGCCAACAAATCACTGTTCATTTTAAAGACACTGATACCTTTCTCCAAGTTGTATGCATATTAGTATGAAAATACACATATGTGATTTTGTTTTACAACTTTCAAAGTGCTCTCAATTCTTTTATCTTGCATAATCCATTTAGACTGTTTCTTCGTGTTCCTTCACCCTCATTCTGGGACCCCTAAACTCTTAGTAATCCTTTGAGATTCTGCCTGCTGGGAGACTTGCTGTGTAAAGGGATAGGTTTCTCTTAGTAGGAGAGACAGAGAGATGTTGAGGTGAACATATAGAATAGCCTAGGCCCTCTCTAGGTGGGAGACCTGGTCCTCACAGGTCGTGAGGTGGAAGTGACATTGGACACTTGAGAAGAGGTGGGGTCTGGAGCAGCTGCTGTGGGGAGTGCAGTTAGTGAAGTAGAGACAAGGAACCATGTTCCTGGCCTGAGCTGTGGAGCGGGAGCTGGGAGTGCCGGGGGTTCCTGTCCTGGGTATACACTTGCTGATGACCCTTGTCTAGGGCCTATCTGAAGTCTTGTGACTCGGGCGTCACCCTCAGCCCACATGGTCGCTCCTGTGTTTGGCCTGCCAGGGCCTGTCTGGCTTCCTCTTCAGGAAGCTGTTCTCTCCCTCTTTTTCCAATGCAGAGGATTTCACAGTGTGGCTGTGGCCAAGGCAGCTGCTGACGCTGCCGCACAAGGCAGAAGACTTTCCTTGCGGCACTGAGCTGCGGGGACATGAGGGCCCTGTGAGCTGCTGTAGTTTCAGCACTGACGGAGGCAGCCTGGCCACCGGGGGCCGGGATCGGGTGAGCTGCAGAAGGATACAACCTTAGGGTCTCATAGCCCTTCCAGTTCCTAGTTCTTAATAACCCATTTCCCATTGCTTCCTCCTGCTTTTTGTTTTGCCAAATCTAGTATAGATCTGTCTACCCGTGCTTCCTTGCGCCCCCTCTTTCCTTGAAATTTCTTGCCTGAAATGGCCCCAGGGTTCCCATCCTTCCTTTGTTCCTGATTTCTCCCTCTCCTTGGGACCTATCCAGGGTCTCCTCTGCTGGGATGTGAGGACGCCCAAAGCCCCTGTTTTGATCCGCTCCTTCCCTGCCTGTCACCGTGACTGGGTCACTGGCTGTGCCTGGACCAAAGATAACCTACTGGTGAGTAAAGGGGCAGGGGTGGCCCAGAGCCCACCTGGGTTCCTGGGGCAAGACAACACTCCTCATCTCATCCTTTTTCTGGCACCCATTCATAATAGTAGTAGCTAATATTTGTCAAACTTGATATGTGCCAGGCATTAAACTAAGCTCTTTTCATATATTGCTTCATTTAATCTTTACAACACCCTGTAAAGTAGATACTCCTTTTATCTCTATGTCACAGACAAGGAAATTGAACTCAGAACATTTCCAAGGTCAGTGATGAAGCTGAGCCAATGAACTTTCTGAAAGAAAGCCCAGGGTTGGGCACAGTAGCTCACGCCTGTAATCCCAGCATTTTGGAAGGTCAAGGCAGGTGGATCACCTGAGGTTGGGAGTTCGACACCAGCCTGACCAACATGGTGAAACCCCGTCTCTCCTAAAAATACCAAAAAAAAAAAAACAAACTTGGCTGAGTGTGGTGGCACACACCTGTAATCCCAGCTACTCGGGAGACTAAGCATGAGAATCGCTTGAACCTGGGAGGTGGAGGTTGCAGTGAGCCAAGATTGCACCATTGCACTCCAGCCTGGGCAACAGAGTGAGACCCTGTCTCAAAAAAAAAAAAAGGAAAGTCTGTACTTGTTACAAGAACATAGTGCTATCTCTCTAGGCTTTGAGATGCCCTGACCCTGTAGGTAAATGGTACTGCTGTGATTTTTTAGTCCCCGGCACAAAATGAGTCTCAAATTACACCCTCAGTGTTGTTGAAGCCTACTTTCGCAATGCAGGGTCTCCACTTTGTTCTCAAAAAGAAAGGAGAAAGAAATAAATATCAATTGAATAGACTTGTCATAGTCTATCCTATGAGGTAGCCAGATCTTTCCTTGGCACTGTAGATTGTCCACCTTTATCTGAATTTGTTGACTAACATTATGTTAATAATGTGGACAATAGCTACTATTTATTATATGCTCACTGTGTGCCAGGCAGCATGCTAAGTCCTTTTTCTTTTTCTTTTTCTTTTTTTGAGACGGAGTTTTGCTCTTGTAACCCAGGCTGGAGTGCAATGGCACAATCTCGGCTCACCATAACCTCTGCCTCCTGGGTTCAAGCAGTTCTCCTTCCTCAGCCTCCTGAGTAGCTGGGATTACAGGCATGCGCCACCATGCCCAGCTAATTTTTTGTATTTTTAGTAGAGATGGGGTTTCACCATGTTGACCAGGATGGTCTCGATCTCTTGACCTCGTGATCCACCCGCTTCGGCCTCCAAAAGTGCTGGGATTATAGGTTTGAGCCACCACGCCTGGCCGATTTTTCTTTTTGAGACAGAGTTTTGCTCTTGTTGCCCACGCTGGAGTGCAGTCTTGGCTTACCGCACCTTTCACCTCCCAGGTTTGAGCAATTCTCCTGCTCAGCCTCCTGAGTAGCTGGGATTATAGGCGCCCACCACCCTGCCCAGCTAATTTTGTTGTATTTTTAGTAGAGAGGGAGTTTCACCATGTTGGCTGGGCTGGTCTCAAACTCCTGACCTCAGGTGATCCACCTGACCCGGCCTCCCAAAGTGATGAGATTACAGGCATGAGCCACCCTGCTCAGTGTAAGTCCTTTATGTAGATGCATTTAGCACCACAACCACCATATCTGATAGGTACATTATTATTATACTCACTAAATAGTTGAGGAACCTAAGGCTCAGAAAGAGAAACAGATTACAAAGCACAAAGTAATGAGGGGTGGATTTAGGATTTGAACCCAGGCTCTTAATTACATGGCTTACTGCCTTCCACCCTGTATGATAAACATACAGAAATGCTGGAGGGATGCTGATAATCCCATTGCTCTGACTTCTGACTCTGCAGATATCCTGCTCCAGTGATGGCTCTGTGGGGCTCTGGGACCCAGAGTCGGGACAGCAGCTTGGTCAGTTCCTGGGTCATCAGAGTGCTGTGAGTGCCGTGGCAGCTGTGGTAAGAAGGCAATGGAGAGCTCACTGGGGGTCTCTGGGAGGTCTAACAGGGCTTTGGGAGACTGGGTACATTGAGTTTCTAATCCCAGAGGCAAAACGAGCATAAAGAATGAAGTACTTTGGGAGGCCAAGGCTGGCAGATCATGAAGTCGTGAATTCGAGACCAGCCTGACCAACACGGTGAAACCCCGTCTCTACTAAAAATACAAAAAAAAAAAAAAAAAAGCCAGGTGTGCTGGCACATGCCTGTAATCCCAGCTACTCCAGAGGCTGAGGCAGGAGAATCACTTGAACCCGGGAGGCGGAGGTTGCAGTGAGCTGAGATTGTGCCACTGCACTCCATCCTGGACAACAGAGTGGGACTCCATTTCAAAAAAAAGAGAAAGGAAAACAGAATGAGATGCCTGGAATATAGGCAGCACAGTGATACCCCATCTGTATAAAAAATAAAGATAAAACTTAGCTGGACACCATGGTGCATGCCTGTAGTTCTAGCTACTCAGGAGGCTGAGGTAAGAGATCACTTGAGTTTAGGAGTTCAAGGCTACAGTGAGCTATGATCCAACTACTGCACTTCAGCCTCCAGGGTGAAAGAGTGAGACCCTATTGCTAAAAAAAAAGTAGAAAAAGAAAATGAGATACTCGGGACTGGATTATGGTGTTGAAGCTAAGGGTTGGTATAAAGGGAGAGAGGGGAGCATGAAAACACAGCATCTTAGTATCAGCATCTTGAGGCAGTCCTGAGCCACCCAACCTCAATGTTCCTGGATTCTCCTTCCTCATTGACATTTTCCATGCCCTTGATGCTCAACCCACCTCTGTGGAGGAAGTTCTGTTTCCCATGTCCTGCTCAATATGACTCTGCTCTGATCTTGTGCTCTGGGGGCAGGGGGAGCACGTGGTGTCTGTGGGCCGGGATGGGACCTTGAAAGTGTGGGACCATCAAGGCGTGGAGCTGACCAGCATCCCCGCCCACTCAGGACCCATTAGCCACTGTGCAGCTGCTCTGGAGCCCCAGGCAGGTAACAAAACATCAGCCACCTCCCCTTCCCTGCTGCCTCTTCTTTTCTCCCTGCTCCATCCCTTCTTCTTACTCAGTCTCTGTATTATCAGCTGGACAGCCTGGATCAGAGCTTCTGGTGGTGACCATTGGGCTGGATGGGGCTACACGGTTATGGCATCCACTCTTGGTGAGTTCCTGCAAGGACCAGGGTCAGTGGAGGTGGGGAAGATATGTAGGATAACTTTCTGTTGTGCCCACTCCCATGAGCCCATCTCCATCCCTTCCTCCTAGGTGTGCCAAACTCATACCCTCCTGGGACACAGTGGCCCAGTCCGTGCAGCTGCTGTTTCAGAAACCTCAGGCCTCCTGCTGACTGCCTCTGAGGATGGTTCTGTACGACTCTGGCAGGTTCCTAAGGAAGCAGGTGAGTGAGAAATGGAAAGAGACAGGGTATGTTACTGGTACAAAAAAGGTCAAGGGTAGCCTGATACCTCTTATCCCAGCAATATCTTAGCTCCTAATGAAACACTTCCTTTCTTCTCCAGATGACACATGTATACCAAGGAGTTCTGCAGCCATCACTGCTGTGGCTTGGGCACCAGATGGTTCCATGGCAGCATCTGGAAATCAAGCTGGGAAACTAATCTTGTGGCAGGAAGCTAAGGCTGTGGCCACAGCACAGGTGAGTCGGTGTACCCTCAGTTCTTTGTGTAAATTCTTCCCTGGCTGTGTATTTACTGGGGGTTAGAGGTTGCATATCTGGCTGGGAGGGGAAAGATGGTTCATCCTGGCTTGTCAGAAGCACTGAATTGAACTTGTTGTGTATACCAGGCTCCAGGCCACATTGGTGCTTTGATCTGGTCCTCGACACACACCTTTTTTGCCCTGAGCGCTGATGAGAAAATCAGTGAGTGGCAAGTGAAACTGCGGCAGGGTTCAGCACCCGGAAATTTCAGGTGAAACAGGCTTATGGGTTAATATGATAGAAACAGTAGTCTCCTCACTCCTAACATTTTACCCAAATTACTACTTCTGAACTAGGTCAATTGGATGTTAGTTACTGAGCAGGACATTATTTTCTGCTTCTGGCAATGTAAATGAATAATTCTCAGTGCCTACTTGATGTCAAGCACTGGGCCAGGCAATATGAACCAGTTACAGATTAAATTCATTCTTTAAGGAAGCTCACTGTAGAGGAATGTGCATATAATTAAACCACCAGCACTATTCAAACTGACTAGTGCTATAATGAAGATACATGCATGCGTGCGCACACACGCACACACACACATGCACACATATATTCCTGGGGTTTCAAATTTTGAGAATTGTGGGGAAAGGAGTTGGTATTTAAGGTTGGACACTTACAGAATGAGTAGGAGTTTTCTGGACCAGCAAGAGAAGGGAACAGTGTTTCAGGAAGAGGAAGGAACATGTACAGAAGATACGGAGCTATTGATAGTGTGTAGTATATTCTGGGTATAGCCAGGTCCTTGGATTCCTGGTGGGAGTAAAGGAAATTGGATTGAAAAGATAAACTGGGCTCAGGCTGTAGAGGACACAGTGCTAAGAATTTTGAGTGGAATAATTATCTGGATTTTATAAAGAGAACTCTGGTGGCAGTATGGAAGATGGATGGTAGTAGAGAGATACTAAAGTTAAGGAGACCATATTTACACCTGTAGCTATAGCCTAGAAAAGACATAATGTGGGCCCGACCCAGGCTGTGGAGATGAGAAGGGAACATACAGATTTAGGCATGTGTTGCATCCACAGGCCTTATTGATGAGTTGGAGGTAGAGAGGGAAGGCAAAGCGAAGAATGTTAGCGATTTGTAGTTTGAGCAAGTAACGGATTGGCGCTGATGAATACTAACTTTAAAAAAACAGAAAATGGAACAGGATTTTCGGGGAAGGTGATACATTTTGCTTTATACTTGAATCTTGAGGAATTCATGTGGGATTGAGGAGCCTGAGAGAGGTTAACTAAAGTAGGATCTTTCTCTGTCCATGTACTTTTTTGAGCTAGTCTTCACCTGAACCGAATTCTACAGGAGGACTTAGGGGTGCTGACAAGTCTGGGCTGGGCTCCTGATGGTCACTTTCTAATCTTGGCCAAAGCAGATTTGAAGTTACTTTGCATGAAGCCAGGGGATGCTCCGTCTGAAATCTGGTAAGATCCAAAATGCCATTTCTTCCTTTTTTCTTCTGAAGACAAAGGAAATGTGAGTTAGTGATTATACTCAGGTTGAATCCAACTTAAAGAAAACACTGGAGTCTTAAAGAGAGGTGTTTCTCTCTTTAAATCCTGAGCTTAGCCTATTCCTCTCTTGTAAACCAGGAGCAGCTATACAGAAAATCCTATGATACTGTCCACCCACAAGGAGTATGGCATATTCGTCCTGCAGCCTAAGGACCCTGGAGTTCTTTCTTTCTTAGTAAGTCCTATTTGAGTGTGTGCTAAAGCAAACATTTGTCTAGGATCAGTGTTTTTACACCTTGGGGCCCATCCTGGAGGATAGAAGGGAAAGGCAGTTGGCTGCAAATCCTCCTATCCTTCAACTGGAGCAGTTCTAATTTAGGACATTATATATTGGATGCCCATGTAAGATTTCATTGGTACAAGAAAGGATTCTACTGTTTTAAAAAGCCATGGAAAGCCATAAACCTAGAAGTTTTCTCAATTGCGTTTTTCCCCATGTCTCTCTTGTCTTGCCCCCATGAATATTAGCATCTTGAGGGCAAGGACTACACCTTGTTTTTGTCATCAGACTTAGCAGTTACCTAATAGATGTTCATCACTCTTTGGATTGAGTGAGCCAAAGCTAGCTGTTCACTTCACATGCAAGTTCCTGGGAGCCTTTTCTTTCTGGGAAGGTTATTAAATCCTGACCTGCTGCCTACTAAAGTTACCTACTAAAGCTTATTCATGACCCATGATTCCACTCCTAAATATATACCCAAGAGAAAGGAGTACATATATTCTCCGAAGCCAGGTACAAGAATCTTCATAGCAACTTTATTCATCATAGCTAAATATTAATAAATAGAAAGGGGATAAATAATTTGTGGTATATTTATACAATGGAATGGTACATGGCAAAAAAATTGATACTGCATGCTGATGAATGGAATAATACAGAAATACCTCATAGACATTATTCTGGGCAAAGGAAGCCAGTTACAAAGGAGGACATGCTATATAATTTCACATAAATGAAGTTCAAGAACAAGCAAGACTAATTTCGGTTGACAGACATCAGAATATTGTTAGCTTTCGGGGTGATGGTCTGGCATTGACGGGGCAGGGACATAAGGGCAATATTCTGGGGTGGCTCATGCCTGTAATCCCAGTACTTTGGGAGGCTGAGGTGGGTGGATCACCTGAGGCCAGGAGTTCAAGACCAGACTGTCCAACATGGTAAAACCCCTTCTCTACCAAAAATACAAAAATCAGCTGGGTGTGGTGGCGCAAGCCTATAATCTCAGCTACATGGGAGACTGAGGTAGGAGAATCTCTTGAACCCAGGAAGTGGAGGTTGCAGTGAGCTGAGATGGTGCCACTGCATTCCAGCCTGGGCAACAGAGTGTGACTCCATCTCAAAAAACAAAACAAAACAAAACAAAACAACAACAACAACTATATATATATATAAAAATATATGTATATAAAAAATATATATATATATATTTTTTAAGACGGGATTTCACCATGTTGGTTAGGCTGTTTTGAACTCCTGACCTCAGGTGATCCGCCTGCTTTGGCCTCCAGAGTGCTTGGATTACAGGTGTGAGCCACCATGCCCAGCCCAAATATACATATATATTTGTACACTTGAATGTATCTAAGTTATAGTTACATAAAAATAAAAAATAGTAAAAAAATCCCAACCAGCTCAGAGCAGAAAGCTGTTGCTTTGTCTGATACAAGTTGACTGGTATGGGTAGGCTAAACAAAATGACCTATCCTTTCACAGAGGCAAAAAGAATCAGGAGAGTTTGAAGAGAGCCTGAACTTTAATATAAACTTAGAGAATCCTAGTAGGACGCTAATATCGATAACTCAAGCCAAACCTGAATCTGGTGAGTGGTAAGAGAAGGACCTGAGGAACCTGGAGATGGTCCAGGGTGGATGGCAGATCCCTCAAGGCCTGAGACTTGGCTCTAATTCTGTCCTTAAAATGGCAGAGTCCTCATTTTTGTGTGCCAGCTCTGATGGGATGCTATGGAACCTGGCCAAATGCAACCCAGAAGGAGAATGGACCACAGGTAACATCTGGCAGAAGGAAGTAAACACTCCTGAAACCGCAACTCCAGAGACAGACCAATCTACACGAAGGGAATCTGATGCCAGCATGCACAGCGAGCCAATACCACATTTAAATACACGACAGCGTAGAAAGGTGAGTTTGAAGGAAGAGTCAGAAATATTAGGGGAGGAGGGCTGTAGGTCTGATATAGCACACTTGGATGGTTCCCTGAGGAGGGGCCCCTGAAAACTTACTATACTGCTCTCCTCCTTCCTCTTTGAGATTCACTCGGGCTCTGTCACAGCCCTCCATGTGCTACCTGAGTTGCTGGTGACAGCTTCAAAGGACAGAGATGTTAAGATATGGGAGAGACCCAGTATGCAGCTGGTAAGTGTGTATATGTGTGTCTGTGTGTCTGTGTCTGTGTGTGTGCACACCTATCCTAAAGGGATGTCACAAGACAGCAACCTTAGGGTAAGAAAGGGTCAAAGATCAAAATTCTGTTTTCTTCAATCACTTGTAATGTGTGACCAACCTATTTCTAAATAAACGGAATTGATGTGAGAAAAAAATAAGTTAGTAAGGAGGCCCTAGGCTTTAGCCCTCACCTCTCCCATTTTTGTTCCCATCGTAGCTGGGCCTGTTCCAATGCGAAGGGTCAGTGAGCTGCCTGGAACCTTGGCTGGGCACTAACTCCACTCTGCAGCTTGCCGTGGGAGACATGCAGGGCAATGTGTACTTTCTGTCCTGGGAATGAAGATGTGCTATTCAGGGGAAAGATGATACCCCTTGTGCTAGAGATGCAAAGCCCGAAGACAGTGATAGCTTTTAATTACTATAAAATTAATAATTTCTTAATAATTATAAAAATAAAGTATCAAAACATCTCAAATGTAGGTCTGCCTGTATTCTCATTGGATTCAGAACAGGAGGGGAGTATATGGATATTCTAATGTGTGTCTCTTCTAATTTAACATTAATCCTTAATATAATCACAAGAAAGTGAATGAAATCTTTAGTAGGTACTCTTTGAAACTAGGCTTTAGAATTCTTCTGTTATTTGTGGGCCCTAGGACCCTAGGATGCCATTCTTGCCAGGAGGAAGAATGAGAGCAATGTCAGCCAACATTCAGTTTGAACAGAGCGGTTCATGGGGAAAGAATGAGGGAGGGAGAATAAGTCAATCATGCATCAGGGCATTTAGAAAGAACTGGAATGGAGTTAGGATAACATTACACTACATTCCTCTCAGAGACAGCTTTTCTCGGAACTACCCAGATGAGAGGTGAGGAGTCAAGCCATTGAAAGTGGAACAAACCTTCTGGTTTTCCCAACTTTTGACATTTGACTTTCAAACTTTAGTCAGTATAGTAATTGGCATTTTCATAAGAGATCACAGAAGTGTCTTTCTCTCTCAAATTGAAATACACAAAGATTAAAACTAAAACTAATTGAGAGGTGGCACAATCATAGCCATGAATTCTGATTTTCTTCTTTTTTTTTTTCTTTAGAGATGGGGTTTCTCCATGTTGGTCAGGGTAGTCTCAAACTCAAACTCCTGACCTCAGGTGATCCGCCTGCCTCAGCCTCCCAAAGTGCTGGGATTACAGGTGTGAGCCACTGTGTCTGGCCTGATTTTCTTAATTGTAAAAACTTATGATTATTATTTGTTTTTTGAGATGAAGTCTGGCTCTGTCTCCCAGGCTGGAGTCCAGTGTTGTGATCTTGGTTCAGTGCAACCTCCGCCTCCTGGGTTTAGGTAATTCTCTTGCCTCAGCCTTCGGAGTAACTGGGATTACAGGCACCTGCTACCATGCCCGGCTAATCTTTGTATTTTGGTAGAGACGGGTTTCACCATGTTGGCTAGGTGGGTCTGAACTCCTGACCTCAAGTGATTCACCCACCTCAGCCTCTCAAAGTGCTGGCATTATAGGTGTGAGCGACCACACCTGGACCGTAAAAGAACCTTCTTATATTCCTAAAATTCGATTACATGGAAGAATCTATTGAGCAACTTAGCCTTTGCTTAACTTTTCCCCTCCCTGTTATTCCCTATTATAGCCTTTGCTGGGGTGGTTTTGTAGAATTTTCAGAGCATGGAAGAGAGAAATAGAGCTTCCTCCTGCCCTTGGCCCATGCTTTTAGGAGAGCAAAAGGCAAAATATTTTTTGAGACAAGAGTCTCACTCTGTTTCTCAGACTGGAGTGCAATGGCGTGATCTCAAGCAATTCTCCTGCTTCAGCCTCCTGAGTAGCTGGGACTACAGGTGCACACCACCATGCCTGGCTAATTTTTGTATTCTTAGTAGACATGGAGTTTCACAATGTTGGCCAGGATGGTCTTGATCTCCTGACCTCGTCATCTGCCCTCCTCGGCCTCCCAAAGTGCTGAGATCACAGGCATGAGCCACTGCAGCCAGCCAATCTTGACACTTCAAAATTTATTTATTTATTTATTTTTGAGGCAGGGTCTCAGTCTGTTGCCCAAGCTGGTATGTGGTAGTATAATAACAGCTTGCCAAAACCTCTGCCTCTAGGGCTCATTGATCCTTCTGCCTCAGACTCCCGAGTATCACACCACGGCACTCCAGCCTGGGCAACGAGTGAAGAATATTGTAGTGTTCTTCAGTTTGGTTTTCTTTCTTTCTTTCTTTTTTTTTTTTTCGTGAATAGGCTGAGATTATGGATTTAATGGAAGAATTTGAGTTGATATACTTCATTGCATCTTTATTGGGTACATATGGTATTAACAAAACTTATAACTGGTGTTAACCCTGATCACTTTTAAAGTGATATTTGCCAGGTATTTTTGCTGTACCTTTTTCATATTGTTAGAAGCAAGTCACTAAGTCCAGCCCATACTCAAGGTAAAGGAAAGAAAACCTCTAGAAGAGAGAGGTTTGAAAGACATTTATTTATCTTAAGGTAGGTTTTTTGAGGCTATGCAAGTATCATTTTCCTGACTAATCTTAGCATTCATCCATGGATCTTGACTGCAATATGGTGATTGTGGTTTTCTAATCATGATTGCCTATTCCCCTCCATTTTCCCTAATATTTTCTATTTCCCTTTGACATTTATTTATTGAAATTCTTTTTATTTTTTTGAGACTGGGTCTTGTTCTGTGACCCAGGCTGAAGTGCAGTGACATTGATCATAGCTTATTGCACTCATACTCCTGGGTTCAAGCGATCCTCCTGCCCCAGCCTTCCAAGCAGCCGGGACTACAGGCATGCCTCACCATGCCTGACTTTTATCTTTGTAGAGATGAGGTCTCACTATGTTGTCCAGGCTGATCTTGAACTTCTGGCCTCACGCGATCCTCCCACCTCGGCCTTTCAGTGTTGGGATGACAGGTGTGAGCCACCACACCTAGTCTGAAATTTCAAAGGGAATTTTATCCCTTCCTACCAATTTATGTATTCAGTTATTTACTTGTGTCAGCATAAATGCATGAGTATTATTTTTTTAAGGAGCTGTTTGAATTTTAATACTGAAACTTGATTGTACTTATATTTCAATACCTTTTTATAGCCAGTGTTTACATAGGATAAAAATATATACTTAGGGCTAGACATGGTGGCTCATGCCTGTAATCTTAACACTTTGTGAGGCCAAGGAGGGTGGATCACAAGGTCAGGAGTTCCAGACCAATCTGGCCAACATGGTGAAACCCCATCTCTACTAAAGATACAAAAAATTAGCTGGGTGTGGTGGTGCACACCTGTAATCCCAACTACTCAGGAGGCTGAGGAAGAAGATAGAAAGATATTGGTCTATAGTTTCACTTTCTTGTGATGTCTTTATCTGGTTTTAATTTCATACTGCCTTATGCAATTAGTTGCAAAGTATCCCTCTCTTCTATTCTTTGGAAAATTATGTTGTCTGCTTGAGTTTTAATAGCATGTTTCTTCAGTGAGTAGATATATTTGACTGGTTCCTTATCTATGGATCTTTTTATGTACACCAATGCCTCAGTGACATCTATGCAAACATATGTAAGTTTTAGGTCAAAGGGCATGTACATTTCAAATTTTGATATTCAAAATCTGGTTTCTAAAAAGTTACATGTATTGAGGCTTTGTGACAGTCTTCCAAAGGCTTCCCAAATTTTTGGACATGTGGTGTAAATCCTAAGATGTTAAGTAGTTGGAGACCCAGGCTGCAGTTGATAAATCTGAAAAAGGCAAGTGACTATGTATGGATGGGAAAGAAAAAGGCAACTTAGCTTTTGTTGCCTCTACCCTTCCTGCAGTAATGCTCAACAAATTCCAGTTTGCAGAAAAATTGAATTAAACAGGTAAAAGCATTAGCCCCACCCATCAGTATCCCTCAATGCACAGATGCCACTAAGAAGATACTGAATAACTTGCAGAGCAGTGAGTACTTTCTGTCCTGGAAATGAAGATCTACTAATATCAGAAGAAATATGTGCTTGGAGAAATAAAGTCCAAAGAAGCCAGTGGTAGAGTTGTACAGTTTTTATTATATAAAGTATCACAAAATTCAAAAGTACAACACTTGCTTATTTTCTTGCTTGAAGATCAGATCTCTGGTTTATTTAATATCAACATTCAGCATAGCTGCAGGAAATTAAACTGAACCTTTAAAAGGTACCGCATACGGACTTGGTTGGGGTTATAGACAATATATTCATTGTAGTTGAGGGTATAACCATCTGGATTCAAAATTCCTGTGTCACTTGCTGGTCCTAAGGGTACTGTACTCCCATTCCTGCCAAACAGAAGAAAAGTATGTCAACATCAGTCTCTGGTTCAGAAGCTGGAATAGAGAAAGTAGTCTTATGTGGCCAAAAGAAGTCTTCTAGCCTTCCTGGTTCTGAGTACTTACAGGGTGACGAAGTGGGCAGGACTGGGAGCCATCTTGCCCAGCCCCTTGGTGCTGTGTTTACCTTGAAGCAATCCTTCAGCCTTAGGATTGGCCTCTAGTAGTTCATTACACTGACCTAGAGCTACCTGCAAAGCAAAAAATCTTTGAATGCCCATATCCTACTAAAAATTAGATGGCTCCAGAGCCAAACAGAAAATCCCATCAGTACTTTTCCCCCCTACTCCAGCAGAGGAATCCAATGTACTAAAAATTGCACTTGGTTCTCTCTCAAGTTATCCCAGGTAAGCCTCTTGCTTCTGGGTTCAAACTTTTCTCACTGGAAAAAAGTGGGAATTAATACACTAGAGCTCAGACATACTCCCGCCTCACCTCTGATAAGAGCAGCAGTCCTGTATTCTTTAGGCGAGACGCAAAGCAATAATTGGCACTCTTGGAAGACATGTCAGCAAAATAGATTCCTTTTCCAAACTGAAATATATAAATGAATACCAAGGTCAGCTTCTAAGCCACTGTGTTGGAGAGAAGGTGTATAGCACCAACCCTGTTTTTCCATTCCCTTAAACACAATATAGACTCTTCTCCATTTCCCTCACAATTCTGTCCTAGAGAAGGTAGAAGCACCTGTGAATTTCTGCCTTCTGAGGGAAAGGCAAGGTATCTTTAGGAATTTAAAGAAAGAAGGACACAGTAAAACATGACAAGGTTATCAGTGAGCTGGCTTAACTTTTGGGGGAGGAGAACCACCTAATCCTAATCTCGAAAAAAAAAAAAAAAAAAAAAAAACACTGAGAACATTACTGTATCCCTTTCCCCTGTGCTCCTCCCAGAGTTCAATTTCACTCACCATGTAACCTGTGATGGGAGCTTCAGGTGGGGCAATTCGAAGCCCGTGGCTCAAGATTCCCACCCAGTTACTCAGCCTGGAACCATGCCATAGAAGCATCCTATGGAAAAGTCAATATTATTGCACTCTGTTGTTTTGCACAGATAGGCCATAACCATAAAAAGCCAACACCTTCCTCTGCCTCCTTTTTATGTTTTA